CTGATCAATGCTGGAATTTATTTTTAAAGCAGAAATTTTTTTAATTAATTTTCTACATTCTAATGTATAAATTATCAAGCAGTTGTTTCCGACCATGATTTTGTTTCATGACTTTTGCTTTTGAGACAGAAACCGCTTGTACCACATTGACTTGACTACATATGCAATAATTCAAACACAGATAAAGGAATTTAATTGAATAAATTATTATTGAGCTTGTTTGTTGCTTGCCAACCTGACTTATTATAATCACTAACGATAATATGAAGTAACATCCAAAAAAAACTAGTTTTTAAACGATTAGCATTGTGGTCAGCGCAGAAAATTATAGCACTGATGTTGACTGAAAATATTTTTATTTTTAAAAATTATTCATTTTATTGGCCTTTCTGGTTGATTTAAAAATACAGAAAAAATATTTCAGAGGTTCTATTTATTGACAAAAATGATTTTTGATGAGACAATATCAGGTTTTTTTTTGAAGAAAACTAGCTGGATATGGAAATGTGGCAGATTATATTAGATAATTTTCTGAATAAAATATAATCAGCAATGGAATTTATGAAGAGAATTGATCGCGCATTTTTCTGACTTAGTATCTTCAGGTTTCATTTCAATGTGGAAGTTTAAATAGTCTAGATTCGGATAGACAGACTGTCATCCAGACTGATTTGCTGGATTGCCAGAAGTACACTGGTTGAAAACTGACATCCCAAATCTTTTTAGAATAATAATGGGACAACTTTTGTTCTGTACACAATGAAACAGTTTGAGGTTCTGGTCTGTGAAAGAATGAGAACGATAAAAAGTTAATTTATTGCCTTTTTCCAGAATTAAGAGGATTTTTAAGTTAAATGATGGTCCCCAAAATAATATCAAATTTTCGTGTTTCTGGAAAATTGAGAATTTTTTGCTTTGAAACAGGATGTGCTTAGAAATTGATACCTTAGAATCAGGGTAGAAGCAAGACACATAAAAGCCATAAAAAAAATCTTCGCGAAACATCTAAAATTAGAAATGGCGTAAAAATTAGAGTCACACAGTGTCTGAATAAATTGGATTCGCAGTTCCATTTTATCATCATAATCGTATCTAGACAAACCTTCTTAAAGACGGAAGCTTTGATGCGAATTTTTTATTGAAATCGAAAATTTTTGAGGTTATAAAACACTAAGTTGTGACCCAAAGACTTTGTTTTTCAGCATTGCAAAAATGTATGGCTTCATAATTTAATTCTCACTGTTGATGGTCGCGCGAGGAGTCATTTATAAATGACTTCAATCTAATGGTAAATTATTTTTGAAATCCTTCAAATTTCCGTTTATATGAAGTTTTATTCAGCTTAAGAATCACCTACTCTCATTAATTTAGACGTCATATCTTAATAAATCTTAAAGATGACACAAATCCAGGATATTATATAAGACTTGCTGAATTTTCGTGTCCATGAGTATTAATGCTTAATTTCTTTACTGTGTTTTTGTCATTAGCACCTGCGAGTAAAGTTACTGGAAAATTTAAAATGTAATGAGCCGATGCTTCCAAATATTTTTCTGAAGAAAAAAAATGTTCATAAATTATCGTGTTTATACAGCAGGGAACTTGCTAAAATTGAAAACTCCTGCGGTATGGTCATGGAGGTTTTAAACAGTATGGAAAATAAATTGTTGCAGTGCGGATACAAGTACACATTTCGTGCATTTCCTTGAGAATTTTCAACACTTTTTGCAAATTATAAAAATTTATAGCTGCGGTTATTAGCAAACGGCTAATGGATGGTCTTAATCTTTAAGTCCTTGATACTGTTTTGAAGATTAAGTGCTAAAATTTGTAAAAATTGGATTTTAAAATGAGGTTAGAATGTAGATTTTGATTGAATAGTTTGCGGAAGATAAGCAAGAGTTTAGAATCCAATCAGATGCAATAAAAAAGTTTTAGTAGCATTACTGATATTTTTGTATTTTAACCAATCAAAGTTATTTTTAAAATCTTAGCATCAATGTCCCCAAATGATGTTTTATCACAAAAAAAGCCTTGAGTCATGTAGAAACCAACACAACAACCATAAAGTTCCTAAAACAATTTTTTTTGTGGTGATAGGACAAGAATCATCAACATTTCATTATTATAATGAGCTTATCTCATCTGTTGTTTTAACATTTATTGCCATCGTCCGTAGAACATAATAATTTTTTCATTCAGATCTTCTTCTCATCGTTTAAACTTTAACTCTTTGTTTTTATTGATTGGCAATAAAAAATCCACAAAAAAATTGATTTCACTTTCAAGAAAAAAAAATTTTGGGGGGATAACAAGTTTTGAAAAAAAAATTATGTAAAATCTGTTTTGATGACGTTATTTTATTATATTTTGAACTTGACAATTTCAATGTCGAAAGATTTTGATCGAATCTCAAGTTTTTAAGAGTCATGTTATCCCCTTGCAAAAAACAAAAGAAAAATCTTTATTTATGGAAGCTATAACAGATGTATTTTTGATTAGAAATTAGCGTTAGCGTGATAGAAAACGGAAAGTGAATAATGCCTGCATAGATCATCTTTTTGACATTTTGAACTTTCAATTATAATTTAACTCCAATACTGATGCTACAGCTGTAATTTTCTTGTTTACATTATTTTCTATTCGAATGCTTTTAACTCTGTTTTTATGATGATAGTTATTGTGAGAAAAAAAGTGAAAGATTCGCGAAAAAAATGATGGCTGTAAATTTCAGAAGTTGTTGAAAATTCACTTTCCTTTGTTATTCAAACAGTTTTGCTAAATTAAGCGATAACATGACATTTTGGACTATTTAGATAAAATCATTTCCCATTACTATTACAAAATAATGGGAGTTTATTAAAAGCATGAAACAATTTAGGGATTATGCATATATAGATTTTAGGCATAGAAGGGGAATGGAAGGAATTATTTTGATTATTTGTTTATTGTAGTAAAGTCAACACTACCTGAGCTAAAGTGAGGTCAGCCCTTAAAGTTAAGAGGCTATAAGTATCGATGGACATCATTTCTTAGTGATCCCATAGAATTGTCGGCACAATCTGATAAATGGATACCTACATATAAATATTCAATCTTAATGAGAAATAAGTTTTTTGCATAACTTTGTGCTATTATAAAATTTTTCTCTCTCTCGCTTATTTAAATCACGACATGTATGTGTATTTAAAAAAAATTTATATGTGTGATAACGTTATATATACTGACAATGTCGAAGCTAGTCGCTGTTGCTATTTTATAATATACAATCTTGTAAAATTGCCTTCAAACTCTCGATTTCATTTTTTTTTTCTTCTCTTCGTATATCTCTGATGGAAGTTCGATGAAGAAAAAAAAAACTATAACAACTTAAGTGACCCACTTAAGCCCGTTCGATATTATTTTATATGCTTCTCTCTCAATATATAAAAATACATGAATTGCCTTAACAAGACAACCTACAAAGTCAACGTGTAGCGAGAGAGAAAAAAAAACCAAAAAAAGAATTTTTTATTATAAACATTTGTATTTGTTGATACACAATGTCCATCAATCGTGACAATTATCCGAGCTATTGAAAATTCAGTAATTCAGTAACAGTGTTGCAAATGTAGATGTCTACACTAGATGAAGAATGTAGATTCTTCAATAGTTTTTGTCTAGCTAAGAAACTTTCTTCATAAAGATCGATTCTACATGTAGAAAGAAAAAAACCATCTACATGTAGATTGTGTCTACATGTAGAATCTGTCTACATGTAGATTCGATGTAGATGTCTATAATTCTACATTTTTTTCCAGGTCTACATCAGAGAAGAATGTAGAATCGTAGACATCTACATTGAATCTACATGTAGACAGATTCTACATGTAGACACAATCTACATGTAGATGGTTTTTTTCTTTCTACATGTAGAATCGATTTTATGAAGAAATTTCTGTCTCAGAATTTATCTGATCCAGACAAATAGCCAGAATGCAACACTGTTCAGTAAGTCACATTGAATTGATGTTGTGATATTATCGATTGATATCAAACCACAGCATTGTATAACATAGACAAATGGTAATGATACATATTTGAATTATCTAGTGCAGAGAGACATTGATTTTCAAACTGCTGTTTTAGAAAAAGTTGATTTTTAAGCTACAGGTTATAAATTGATATCAAATTTAATTCACACGAATCTTTAACGATTCTTTAAAATTCAAATTTTGGAATAATTTTGACCTTAATGATTTCAAACTTTTGACTAACAAATCTTAAATTCACTGTTCTATTTCCATATCCAGTATTCAACCCACTCAGTACTAACCAAACACCACATCCAATAATTTCCATTACTCAAACCGTGTTAGGAAAAAGACTGTTTTATGCTATGGAAACGAATTGCAATTGCACTTTGCGCGCACGAGATAGAAATAACGATCATGTTTACATTTCATTGTGAAAATTGATTATGTATGTCTCACGTTCATAGGAAAGTATTCATGTATGAGGCATAAGTAAATTCATATAATAATGTCAATTTTGATGATTATGTAAAAATAAAATTAATCGACTTGAACTTAAATTCTTTTGAATAGTGCGAAACGAAAGTGAAAAGTTTAATGGCGTAGACAAAAGGGCGGTTTGGGGTAATGAGTCATGTGTCACTGAATGAAACAAATGGACACCATATACGTGTAAATTAATTTGTGTGTACATATGTTGATAAATAGACTTCCCGGTGTACAAAAGGTTATGTGAAATAAATGAAAGAACAGCAAGACAGCTCCATTTGTCTTCATTGAACTAGAAAAAAATTATTTTTAAATGTTATGACCCCTTGTCAAATATTATCAATAACAATGGAAACAAATTTAATGCCATGCGGTCGCTATAATATTTTTAAAAAGTCTATTGGTCATTAATAACAATGCATTGAAAAGATCAAAAGCATCCGTAAGTGAACATTATTTTTTAAATGTTAATTGTTATTTCTTCCTTCTATTTCACAGGAACACATTCAAGAAGTACTTGACAAATGGACACAAATTGATGACGAGATTTGGGCAAAAATCATTGTCTTTGAGCGAAATCGTCGTGTAGCTAAAGCTTATGCACGAGTTCCTGTGCTGACAGTCAACGGTACTGATGATGGCTTTGATGGCATGAGGTAAGTCTGAAATGAATAATTGAACTATAGATAAACATCAGATTAATATTCGGGTGATATTTAAGAACAGTTTGTCGAGGTATTGGAATGGAAATTTTTCAATTAGGGATCAATTTCGAGGTTTTAATGTAGCAAGTGTATGAAAAAATTCGGATTTAATGATTGAGTTGCTCAAAAGTGAGCAACAATTTTCATGAAATTTCCAATATATGTTCACATTTAAAGCAAAATCCAGAGGGCGAAGTCGACTCGGATTTTGTATGGAAAAGTCGACTTGAGTTCACTCGACTTCATACAAATTTCGAGTCGACTTCGCCCTCTGGCAAAATCTAAGCAATGCTCGTCCAAAAAATTAGAAATAATCTACAACTGAGCATTTGTCATCAGAATCCCTAATACCCACACAATTGCACACTTCATGTACTCGTAATTTCAATTTCAGGAATTTCATGTGATTGCATACTAAAATGCATTTTTGTCTGCACCACAATAATACACATTATGCAATTATTAATTGTAATTGCACGAGATTAATCTTGTTTATTTCATACCTGAACATGAAGCTTTATTCCATTGCAGTAGAAACTTTTACAGCAATTTTGTAGCTGTGTGGTTTTGAGCGTCGCTTATAATTAATATTTATGCACTCTAATTATAATTTCTGGTATATTTTTAAATATTAAGTTACTGCACATTCAACTTTTTTCTTATAACTTTTACATTTTTTTGGGCGTGTTTTTGAGTGTTACAAAGTTTGCGCTTTACAACACCTCGAAAAGTTGCTCATTTTAAATTGCAAATTATTTCTAAACCTTTTCCTCCGTGTGTATGTATTGCAGTCGATGGCTTATTAACGCATCATGATTCTCATTCTCGCTTGACACAGCGGCAAGTTGCTGACGACCTTCACTTAAAGCAAAACAAAAATGCCAATACTTGTAGCTTCTCGGTCTGATATTAAACGCGTCACTGACATTTATTTATGTGTGTGACTTAATGTTTCAACAAGTTCATAGTGCAAATGAGTACCACTTTTAAGTGACCATTGTGAGACCTTTACATGATTTCTTATTTTTTCCTGAGAAGCTTTTAAAGACTTGAAGGACTTTTTCTTTGGTGCCATTCTGTGCATTCATTTGTTTATTTATATTTATTTTTTTTTGCTAAAAGTCATGAAAAAATGTAAAATCATGTCAATTAAATATTTATGATGTTTAAAAAGAAAACATTTTTGAAGTTTTATGGGTTGCAACATCAACCATCAGTGCACGAATTTGTTCATCTATCACTTTGTTGTTGAGTGTTGACGACGATGACAAAGGCGTTAATTATTTTATCAATCATGAAAATGAATATTCCTAATCAATAACGGTCATAAATATTTTGTAATATTTTCATCTTCGATAGCTTCAATTTATGGAAGTTTATTGATATGGCAAGAGCTTTTAAAAGTCATGATTTTATGTGATTTGGTGCATTTTTTGAGCAGCTACCAAGATCATGAATAGTTTATTTGACGATAGATACAAGTTCCATAATGCAAAGCTATGTTTGTAGATAAGTTCTTCCTCTTTGTTGATCGATAATAAAGTCATTAAGACATTAATCAGTCAACAACTTAGTCATTCTTCTCAGTCAATAATCTAATCATCTTCATCCAAGCATTAATCCAGCCAATAAACGCCAAATATTCCAAAAGCTGCTTTTATCATAAACGGCAAGCATCACGTAATTTTGATTATTCTTCTCAACAGCATGAATGTCATCAATCGTTAGCATTTATAAATCAAGACAAGAAAAATATGTCGAAAACTCAAATCAGATAATTTTGAAGGACTTCCATCACTAAAATATCATATATTTACTCCACATCAACCATCAGCCTATGCTGATTGAATAACTTCCTTACAACTTTTGTGTTATTCTTTTCTTTTATTTTATTACCATTATTGTGGTCATACAAATGCTTAACAATGGGTCACGTGGATATAGTAATGCAGAACAATTTTATTATACGCCAACTTCCCGATTCACAATCATATAGGCCTATCATTTGAACGTTATTTCTCAGCATAAAAGAAGAAAAAAACATAAATCGTATTGTTGTTTGTTCGGATTATTATAATCTAAAGATTAATATGCAAAATAGTTCAATAATTTGTTATTACACTAAATCTATGTATGAATAATTTTACTTTCATTATTTAAATTGTTTTTCTATTCCCTCGAAAACAAAACTTTCTTTTTGAACAACAGATAGAAGCCGATCATACATACTTTTGTGGTTTATGCTTAAAATATTCATAAATTTCCTCTCAATATACATATTAAACTCTTTTTTATGATTATCGCTGGAATGTGAAGAAGGTTTAGTATTTCCTCAATGTAACGCATTGATGCGATAAAATGCAATAAAAGCCACTGACCGATGTACTCGCATTAGTTGTTTTTTTACATTATTAATTTCTCTTTCGCATCTCTTTCTGTCTGGCTGACTTAATTGTTTGGATGTTATGAAGTCTTTTATCCGATTTGCATTAAAAATTAGGCTTTTGAATGGGGAATCGTGCTGCAAAATTTGTGGCTTATATTGAATATGGAGATGAGGTTGTTAATGAATTGAAATGTTGTTGGATTTGTCCAAATGTGTGTCAAAAAATTATGATGATTTTGATTTGATGATTTTTAATCCCATCCAGCATCATTATCGCATTCCTAAATTCATTATTTGTTTTTTTTCTCAATCCCATCAACTTAGCTACGCACGTCTCACAACTAAAGTAATTGAAATAAATTTGCGTCTCCGACACTCTCGTTGACTTCCTCAACAAATCTCTCTCTCGACAATCTCATGCATGCTGTATAAGATGCATAACCAGTGAAACTCATCCATTACGATAATAAGCAGTCGGTTGCGTATTTCTCTGTAGTCTGTCTCTTATTTTTTTCCATCTTATGTCTCCAGACAAACGGCAAAAAATAAATTTTTGTGTTGTTTTACGTTTCATTAATCGTGTCGTTAGTAGCCAAAAATATAAATAATGCAGCTTACATAATTACATTGGAGAGGCTGTGGTGACTCCTCAATTTCATCTTCGACATTTATGTGGGAAAATTCGATACTCACGAGAAAAACAGAAGTTATATGATATGTTTTAATAATTCCATCCCTAGTTACGGCAGTAATAAATCTAGCGAATCGTAGAAATTGATCATAAAAATATAAGCCTGGGAAGAGTAGAGGAAATTCCATAAAAATTCGTTTAAATTAATGAAGGTCGAGACACCCAAGCAAATAAGACTTATTGCGTCAATATTTTATGAGTCACTGATGCTTTACCTTACAAAGTTCTTCAATTACAATCTGATGCCACCACCGATCGATTTATTTATTTATTTATTCAGAAAGCATCATCAGTGAGTGCCGTTCATAATGAAATGTAAAGTTATGAGATCTTAAGTCAATAAATGACTCGTGTTGATATCATAAGTCAATAGACCCCTTAGGATAGTTCCTTTAGAGAGGATTAGCAAGAATTTACCGTTGCATTTCTCCTTTATGTCTGCAAGTAAGGAACATTGACAAATGGAGATAAAAAATACAAGGAAATGTGGACTAAACCGAAACTAATGAAACTTGATGTGTGAACTTTTTATTATATTAATTGTTAATACTTGCAGGAATGCAACAAAAAGATGAGAATCAAGTCACAAGATGAAGGTTTAGTGTTACTTCTCTCATGTAAAAACAAATGGAAGAATCATGTACGATTTTTTAGCGGAATTTTAGTGAACAAAGGCACACTCAATGCATTTTAGCTGACTTATTGACAGGAACATTGTAAAATATTGGGAGTGATACAGTTTTATGTATTTTTTGGAATGTGACTTTATTGCATTTAAGTGCTCGTAAATTCGCCATTTTCAAGGAAATTTCAACATTTTTTTCGTTCCATTTAAAAGACCTTCATTAGTGCTATTAAATTTCAATAAGCAGACTTCTAAGCCACACTTTTTGGAGGCTCGTGTTGCTATTAATCATGTTTTGACATAATACGATGACAATTTATTTATTTTAATCCATCTAGGCGTGGAAAAGTTGAAAGTATCTCGTGTTGCACCCATTTTGATCTTTTAGAATGATCTTAGATAAGTATATAATGTCGAGTCGACTGAGCATGACGTTGTCCAGTGAAATACAGGAAGAAACTGGGAATTATTGTGGCTGGAATGCAATATTTTGCAAAATACTGACGCAAAATGATTTAAAGTTCTTTCTGAAGTTTTTTCCTATAGAAGCCAAAAAAATTCTGAACCTGACACCATTAAGCCACAATGATCATCAAACATGAACAAAACCCTCTTACAATTCGAGTAATTTGCACTCAATTATCTTTCCTTTAATTAAGTGTCCACTTTAGATAAAAAATGCACCCCAAACTTTACTCAAATTGTAACTTCCAAACCAATTTTCTTTTCGGCATCGCATCATCAGCTGCCGACACATAAAAAGCAAGAAGAATTAATCGCAACAACACGACATTCAAACGTGTGGATTAAACGCAAAAAGATGTGTATTTATGTGCATTGCTTCTTCACTTCTTCTTGCATGATTTTTAAGTTTCTTCTTCACGATTTAATTTTTATTTTATTGCGATTTCGCGCAAAAAAGTAAATGAATTTTTATTTCACGTCGGTCATGTTTGAGCAAATACCAGACTGATTAATGATCAACTTAATTGATTTTGGAGATGAACTTTCAATGCGGAAAATTTGATGAGTAATGAGTGTAAATATAAATGATTAAGAAATGGAACTAATTAGCTGATTAATGTCATTGAGATGAATCTTCATTTTTTACTGCTGTGGGTCATTGTTGGAGTCATCTTTCTTATACTTCTATAATAAGTGAAAATCCAGTATATTCTTGAATTAGTGCTAGACGTCACTGTCAATTGACCCCTTAACTATCTTTTAAAACGCCTGAAATTATTCTTTTTTCGGATAATTTGGAATGTGCACATGATAAATTTCCGCAGTAATTCATCAACATTGATCTGTTACCCGGTCGATGATAAAAATCACGATGCCAAAATGTCAGGCATATCAAATCTGTTCTAGAATACCAATTCAATTGTATGGATACAAGTTCCCATAATTTTCATTCGCATTGAAACAATAAACACAGAATTAAAGGAATTCCATTGCAAAATTACCTTATATGAAGGCAAAATCAGCTCATTGAAATCTTGAGTATTTACTGCCTTACATTTATGAACGAAAAAAGTGTGCCTAATAAAAAAAGGTGTGACATAAGCATGCAAATTAAAGTAGATGAAATGAGTCATGAGCCATACCGAAAATTGTACTTAATTGAACATAATGTCAAATCAGCATGAGGAAATGATGGCAAATCTCTAGTGCCGCACTCGTTTCAATTTCCATTGTCTCTAAGCCTTTTTTTTGGAGATTTGTTAAGAACCTTAAGTAGTGATTAATATTTTTTGTGGGTGGTCATGTCACGTCACTCAAAAAACAATATACGCTATAGCCTAGACAGCAAATCGATCTAATTCCATATAAACGTTGACAAATTAATGATGAAACATTTTTTTTTGCAAATTATAAAGTGGCAAGTCCTTCTCTGTATCCAATGTCTTATTAACAGTACTTAATTACTCTACAAGATTAATAAACAATATAAATTTTTAATGAAACTCATGTTGCACATATATCTACATATGAGAGCGATTTAAATTCATTGCCATCGAATAATAAAATAATCTGTGAATGATGAAAAACATTCCACACATTTAAGAGTTATTTACCTTACCATATGATCTGGTTACCTTGTCCAATTTTTTACTTATTTTCATTGTTAATTGTGGCGCTTTTAGCAGCTTCGTTTATTGAATGAGATCCTATATGTAGCATGTGTATATTTTTTCGTGCAAAACGGCTAGCCCAAAAATTATTGGAAATGTAAAGCATGGGGTACACAATGGATTTATTTGTACAATAATATTCACATATGCTCATATTGTTCATTTTACTGTGCATTGCTAAGTGGATTGTTTGAGATTTTTGGTGTAGAAAATGAGGTATTGAATGAATAAAGGTATCAAAATCATGGATATTTATTTATTTTTGTCAATCGAGTGCTTTTAGAATTGAAATGCGAATACAAATTTAATAGCATTTTGAAATTCAAATTTTGTTGGGGTTTAATATACACAGCTTTACAGCTTCACGACCCTCGAAATATTTTTATAAACATTTCTCAAATCAATTAAATTAATTGCATTTAATCAATTATATCTCGAGCAATTCATTTTATTGTCCATACTTAAGACATATCAACAATCAAACTTGCATAAGCTATACGTTTTAACTGAAATCTCAAGCTAGTCAAAGCGAATAACAAGTTATAATTATTCGCCCAAGAAAATGGGTTAAAAATAGTTTATTGAAGTAATTGAAGCATATGATCGATTGCTAATTTTTAAATAATTGAAAGGAAGTTTATTAGTAGATAATCTGAACTTTAATGTAAAAAATTAAAAGAATTATTTCATGGGTTAGTGATCTGATGTTTATTTGTAGAATTCTCCTAATTTGTTATTAAATTAATTTTTTTTAATTGTATCAAATGTCTTCCTTATAGAATTGGCTTGTGTGGCTTTGAAAATCCAATGCGTGATGCAAAAACAGTCGAAGTAAAGCGTCAAATTGGTCAGGTAAGAAAAATTTACCATTACTAATGCAATAGAACATTTTTTGTTGCTGCTATAGCTGTTTACTTGTCTAAATGGCACCTGCTAATGTACAACATATTTAATTGTAATGTTGCTCGAAAATATCATGCAATTCAGACTCTTTCAAAATGCTAGAGTGCTTCATGTTCATATTTTATTGAGTTGCCACATAATATTCAAACAAGTTCCAAGTGCTTGAATATTATGCTTATACAGCTTCTTAAACTAACTGACGTATAAAGCTGTCGATCAAAGATGAACTTTAAAGGCACCTAGCCACAATTTTTTCGATTGAAGATGAGCGAAACAAGTTCAACATTGCAATGCTACACGCCGCTAAAACAATTACATTTATTACGATCTTATAAGATCATGGCCAATTTTGAGGTTACGATGAAATAGGCTCTAGTTCATGATGAATGACGCTTTAAAATCAATCATAAATCGATTCATGCATAATATTTCATTAGTGCCGTTTGATGTCTTATTTTTCTCGCTTTAGAATCTCAATGCAAGTAAACAAATAAATTTTAACGGAACAAACAACAATAGACATCCATTTATGATTTATTTTTTTTTTTTTATCAAACTATTTTAATTTGAAAACCACCAATTAAGGTATCGATTTTTGTTTATTATTTTAAATTGCTAGGTAAACTTAATGGTTTTAAATGAGTTTTATGAAAAATGTAATTTAAAATTATAGATTAGAATGTCTAAATGGTTTTTAAAAGTTTGTATTAAAGTATGCCAATAGACACTTAGCAGATATATTTATGATCTTGAAACATGCTTGAGCTGCATTGAGCTATTCAAAATTCAAGAGATGAAACAAAATTGCAAATAATTTTTAAGACACACACAAAAATACCAAAAAAATCTTTACAGCTTTACAGCAAATCTTAATATAAAGAACAAAATACTTAAAGATTTCCTTTTCATTTGTGGACATTTCATACTCATTCTTCGAGTGGCTTAAAACAAGTTACAAAAAACTCACAATGTGTACAATTTTCACTATAGAACTTAATGCTTTTTCTATTAATAGTGTGCGACCTTGCACAGCTAATATGAAGAGAACAAAAAATTAATTCTACAAGGGAGAGTGGAATAAGTCATAATAAATAAGGAATATGAAAAAAAATGGCAAATCATTGTTTAAAAGTTCTAAATAGTCGTGTGAGTGGTTGTATGCACTCATAGAAAAAAAGTAACAAAATGTTTGTAACTTGTATGGAAAATGTTAACAAACAATTCGTTAAAATAGTGTTTACGAACTTATTTGTTAAATTTAACCAAATTATTTGTAAGGTTGAATTGTTAACTATAAAAATTGTTAATTTAACAAACTTTTTGTTAAAATTTTTTTTTACAGAAAAAAATAACAAATTTTCGGTTAATATTAACCAGAAAATTGTTAATTTGGTCACCCATCTTATTTTAAAATGTTTCCGTGGTTGCTTAACTTCTGAATTCCTGTTGATGATCCGCTAGTCCGCTGCTTGTAAACTTTTACTTATAAAATTTGATTCAGAACCAATATAAATAATTCTTTAAAAAATATATCCAAATTTTAAAATTAATTTATGAATAATAAAATAGAAATGTAGGACTTAAAAAAATGAACAAATTTAATTTTTAAATTACGATTTGGTTTGTAAATCATTATTTTCCAAAACAAATTACAAATAAAAACATTGTAACAAATGTTTTGTTAAAATCAACAAATTAATTTGTTAAACAAAATCAACAAAATTCAATTTAAAGCAGTTTTCTCATTAAAAATAACGCAATAAATTAATGGGAATCGTTTGAAATTAATCAAACAAGAGTTTTGAATACAAAAATTAAAATTTAATTAAATCAATTATTAACAAATAAATTTGTTGATTTAACAAACTCAATTGTAAAATTTTTAACAAATAGTTTGGTTGAAATTTTTTTTACCCATGTAAACTTAATCAATAATTTGTTAAACTAGTTTAACAAACATATAACAAATATTATGGTTACTTTTTTTCTATGAGTGTGTGGAGAACAACAACAGCGCAATCCATTTAGGCTCTATTATTAATAATAATAAATAAATCTGAACAATAACAGGAGCTAAAAAGCATTAAATTCCAATTATGCAAAAATCTTATTTGTTCTTTGATTCTTAGATTTTTTCAGAATTGATTGAAGATCTCAGACTCCTAATGATGAATTGTGTTATTGACTCCTCACGATGTCTGTTATAATTAGCCCATATAAAAATTCTCGTGCTAAAAGATCATATAAAAAAAGACTAAGCAACAGAGAACAGGTTTAGATACTTTGTTCCATTTATAAAGCTGTTGTCGGATTGTCAAATGAAATCGAAAGTCAAATTATTACAAAATTTAAGAGAAATGATCGTCGAACCTGCAGTTCACTGCGGTGCTTCTTAGTCAGATGTCGAAACTTTTTATTTTAGTCAAACACAAAAGAAGACACATATTAAAATATTCACATAAATTGATACTAACATGCCGGATGTCTACGGCAAGAATTATGCAAATCAATTCTATAAAGAAGAAAAAAGATTCCCATAAATTTTTTTATTCTGCTTTGACTTAGAAATGTCAAATGTCCACAGTCCAAACTTATAGAATTAATTTAATTTCTAAACTTAAATATTAAAAAGGGGAAATTTGTCTTCCCTGTCAATGGATACCTGTTAATTCCATTAGAATCCGTGATCCCAGATTAATTATTAAATTTATATCCAAATCACATGGATCTGCTATATTTGATACCGTATATAATCAACAATTACTGGTTAACGCGTTAAAAATTGTAATTTGATGCCAATGATGATATAAGTAGCTGTGTGTGTGTTGAGAAAATAAAGAATGAGGGAATTAAAGCAGTCAATTCACAGTCCAATCGACCTTGATTTAAGCTCGCTTAAATGAATTAATTTAGTCATCAATGTGTCATGAGAGAGTCAATGATACAAGCTGAATGCGGCTAAAGACAAAAACAAAAAAACAGATCAAGTTTTAGCGTCTGAGAGAGGCCGACTGCTTAAATGGATTAGTTATCAATAAAAAATGTCTGTAGTAGTGCGTTATATTAAAATTTTGCTTCAAAAGCGCGTTCTGTAATTTTTTTTGCATCAAAAGTGCGTTTAGTAACACTTTTACATCAAAAGTGTGTTCAGTAAAATGTTCGCATAAAAAATATTAAAATCTTTCAGAATGCACAGAATACACACGCATGTCAGTAGCCCCATCAAATTGATGCTGTGTTTATTTGTATCTATCTGTATGAGCATGTTCATATATGAAAAGAGAGAGCGAAATGCCAATTGACGACCTTGAGGTGCGATCAGCAAAACTTTAAAGTCTCTTTCTATAAATAAACAATTTCAAGTTTTGAGACGGATGACCATATATTATATCTTATACACATCCGTACCCTTGATGACAATTTCAATTTATTCGTAGAGTTACAATACAAAAGTGGAAGTGACGTACTTTCCATAAGACAATTCGAGCAATTTTTCAACGAGACTTGCACTCTTTCGTTCTGTTTGTTTCTTTACAAACCTGTATCAGTATCTTCATGTTCATTTATTATGCCATTCAGAGCAAAACAGAAACATTAAAGATTCACTTTTAAAAGCTTGTTTCTCAAGGAAAACCGCAACACGTTCGTTCTCTTCTTCGTTAAAACTTGAATCAGATTTTCACATTTTTTTTAAAAAATATACGCCATGATCATTGTCTTTGCTTTACTTCCGATCATCATTTATATCTCTCTTTATACGCTCTCATTGCAATTGAACTTGAAATACTTAAGATTTCATAAATGAAAGGACAACTATGAATAACTTCACACAAATCACGCACTTCTTCATCCACAAAGAAAAAATTCAATATGGATATACTTATGTGTCTATTCTCATTATTTTCAGGGTGTCAAGATCAAAATGGATGATGCTGGAAATATTTTATTGAGACGTTATGCCAAGAGTAATGTTTATATTAAATCAACATCAAGTGCAACAAATGAAGAAACAGCAATTGGGGCGGATGTGCTGAAAGCGCCAAATCAGTGCTTAGAAGTTGAAAAAGTTTATAAAGTAAGTATTTTGTTTTGAAACGTGAAGCTTTTTTTGTCGCTTTTTGAGATGGAGATGAGTTGTCTGCATCAACTACTCACTTCACCTAATATTTATTTTGCTTTTTTCCTTTTTTATTGCCATTTAAAACAGATTTTTGATATGAAAAAATTCCAAGCAAACGTAAATAGAGAATTGAGCCGCTCATATCCCGATCGTAGACGTCTCGAGACACAGTGCCTATCAATAATTAATTTTGTTAAAACCGAAAATGAAATTCTAGAATGTCCAATTTGGATTATGATAGTAAATGTAGTGGCCATGGATATGTTAAAAAGCAAATTGCCTCCAGGTAAGTTTTGTGGATGATCATAACTAATTTGAGTCTCGTTCATATTAAATTTAATTCCATCATGCAAATTTACACTTTACATATATTGTAAGCATTTTACGGTTGCTTTTGAGTCGATTTTTAAAAAATGTATATAGTGAATTTTTCCCTCTCATTGTTACACAATCAAAATACCAAACAATTTAGTACTTCCATTCATTCATCTATCTAGCATTTATTAAAAAAAAAATATGAAAATATTTGAAAGATTTATGAACAATTGGGGTTCAAAGAAAAAATAAAAAAATATTGAAATAGATAGTCGTGTGTCTGTATGTATTCTCATATATATAGAGGCCATGCAATGCCATAAGCAAGAGCCTTTTGTGTTTATTTAAATCATTTTCATTTGTCTTTTGCAATTTAAGAGCTTTTGTAAAAGTTTCTTTTAATTATTTTAAAAGTCTGAGCCATTTCTAATCGATTTATGGGTGATTTTAAAACTCTTTGCATGGTTTAATTAGCATTACATCATAAGCATCGTTGTCTAGTCGTCAAAATGCTAAATAATTAAATGCCAATTACATGACTGGATCTTTCACGCAAAGTAGAAATTTATCGTTGCTTTGGGGTATTTTGAAGCGGTTTTGGGTCATGTTTATGAAAAGTTGTTAAGCATGATCATTTTGTGCTGTATTCTGACTGTTTGTCCAGTATAGTTTATATAATAGTGCGCCTTAGCCATCCATCTTCTTTATATTTTGCCATACAATTTTGTATTTATTTGAAGAAGACAAAATTGACCATCATTATTTTCATAACTCTTTACTTTTTTCTTCGAAAATACTGAAAAAAACGATACGGTATTTGAAGTCACATTGATATTTACATGCACACAAACAGATATTTGCGTAACAACTTCTTCTTTTCTTCTTTTTTTTTGTATTTCATTTCGTCTTCATTTTGATTATACAGTAAATGTGTCATTGATCTTCTTCAATCGTCAATTATTTGCCTTCATGTGTGTATTAAGATATTGCTGCATGTACTTACAGTCTTTAGCAAATGTTTCATCTCATGGATATTTCTTTTTAAAAAGGCAATATTTTTTTGTCTTAATGCAAAAAAAGAAGATATGCTAAAAGGGTATGACATACGGTTCAAAATGTATTTTCTTGCAATTCTATTAAATGTCATCACATGTTCCATATATGATTGATTGATGGATGACAAAAAAAAGTATTGGATGTGTTAATGCTATTTAATTAATAGCTCTGATGCATTTGCAACACTTGTCAGATATTTTCAATAATTTTTCGAGACTTGATATTTTCAATTTTGATTTGACTTGATGTTTATGTCTTGAATTGAATGTAAATATCACTGTCATTATGAAGCAGGTTTCATTGAGATACGAAATGATATGTTTATGATGTGTGTATTTGGTTCAATTTGAATTGTAGATGAAGATAAGTTTTGAGATATTTGATTTGAGTGATTTTCAATGTAATTATATATTGCAGTCTTTTGAAAGCATTTAAATGACGCAGAACTTTTAGAAATTGATGCAATTTTAGAAAAATGGAACAAAATGTTTAAGAATATAATTTCTGCAACATTTAAAAACTTTAAACAATTTTTTCAATATCCGCCACAGAAAAAAAAGACCCAACCTAAAGTCAATCAATGAACTCAAAGACGAGAATTCTTGAAATAATTTTTATTGTGAAATTCTTACAAATTCAATATAATACCGGATTTAATTAAGCAATCCATCATTACTGAAATCACGGCATCAGCCACGATAAATCAAATTGTTATGACAGCTTTTGGCCGACATATGTGAACTGTGTTGTTCAAGTTGATTAATTAAAATTATGCCATATATTCTGTCGTCAACGTAGGTCTTGTGTCTTATGTTCAATTAATGGAACTTTAAATATCCATAATTTATTGATTGCTATTTATGTCATCAACTAAAATCAGTTCCCGTGACAAATTCAATTAAGAAATGTTAATTTCGATTTTAATTAGCCTAAATACCAATTTCGATTCTTTATTTGGTTACGGAAGCATACTGAAAGTGTTAGTGTCTATTACTTCTATTTTTGCGTATCCGCCATCAATACAAAGTTGAATTAAATCAATTCCAAAGGTTAGGTTAGTCAAGTGAAGGAGAAATTGTGACAGTTTTACGACTGAATTAAGCTTATTAATTGTATTTACGATCTGTGACGCAAACACAGAACTGTAAAATAAGTCCGGCAAAAAAATCTTGTACAATTACTCAACAATTGATATTTACGGTTAAAATTAGCATTATTATGAGTTAAGTTTCATCGACACACATCGCATCGTACCAGGGGAAACAAAAATTCCATTGAATGAAGCGAGAAGTAAGAAATCACACATTTTTTTGATGTTGAGTAAATATAATTAATGGCAATAAAAGAATAAACAATAACAATAACAAATTTAAGTTCATAACTGGGTTATTACACTCAAACATCTTTTTTCTATCTCACGACTTATTTTTTACAACTTGTGAACTATTCTTCAACTTCTGCATATCCATATGTAGAAAAATCATTTTAATGAATCACAAACTGTAAATGCCAATTTGCATACTCACGTGCTTTATTAGATTTTTATATTATTATTTTACTGTCGTCTTCACACGTCAAGCTTGATAGGCTTGAAAACTGCAATTTCTGAGAATTCATTGCATAGATTGTTGGATCTGAGGTTAGTTTTGTCAGTTTCAATTTTCAGCTTTTTCGGATCAAAAGTGATTTTGTTCCTTTAGATTATTTAATTAAAATTTCCTTGAAATGTTTTTCAATCTTCAACCAAGTTCATACTTGAGATAAATTACGAAATAAATTATTTTTGCTATCTCAAATCTACTATGGATCAGACTCAAGTCATTACCAATGAAAATTGATATTTTTGAGAAACTTTCCTGACTTGAAATAAGAACTATGGACACACCTACAAAACATGTGAAAGAATTATGTGAAGTATTAAATATTTGCTATTAAATCGTGATGATAATCCACTTTTTAAGCCACAAAATCCCGAAGGTTGAATAATGAAGTTCTATTGAATTTAAGAAAAATCTAAAAGAATGTTGCAGAATTATGAATCAATAAATTTTTTAAGGAATTAGATTGAACAATATTCTAAATTGCTTTGTTAACTCCTCAGAATATTCAAGATCTGAAACCCAATCTTTCCACTAGAAGTTCCATAGACCCAGGTTAAAGTAAGCAACAAACTAGTACCAGAAATTATGGTAATAATTTTACTGGAAATATCATCAACACTTACATTGTATACATGCATATTTTGTGTCTTATTAAAAAGAAGTCATCTCTTCACGGATGCTTGTTTTCTGTGATGGCATTGAACTCTTTCGTACTATATGTTATTTAAAGTTATTTTTATGAATAAAACAAATTCAATTCTGTATTTTTTTTTTGACATGAATGGATGTATGGGAACTTAGATGCATAATATATATGCGCATAGGTTAAACACTGTCCTTGCCACTGCATCCTTATTGTTTTCAAACATTCAAGATGCTTTAAAGCTTGGATCAGATCCAAATGTCCGTTAAATCATTATTATATGCGCCCTAAAGTACCTTACTTAGAAATTCTTAACTCATCGAGTCACCAAGATCAAATTCCATATAAAGTTTTGCATTTCTATCTCGTCCACAACTCATTTACATAAATTTTACATATACCTACTAGAATAATATTCTTGTACTTTTATATGTCACATAAATATTTGTCATTACGACGACGATGTCGGCATCAACTGATGATGATGCCTTTAATAATATTCTAACTGAGTAGAATTTGCTCTTGCTGGTGCTATAAAAATGAAAAATAAGTAAATAATAAAAGAGAAAATTGTTGACATAGAAATTTTAATAGATTGTAAAACTCTATGAAGACAGTGACGAATGCTAATGGGAAGAACAAATATTATAGGACTTTTTAAGCACATCATTAATCACCTGTTTACAATATAACTGCGATGCTTTAACTTTAAGTAGGAATAATGTAATAATTTGAGTGAATTGTGCATTAATAATTTATTTCGAAGGCATTAAAATAAGCTTGCTGTCTATATATTGAGCTTATAGCTTATTAATATGAATCTTATTATTTGCTACTTGATTCTTAACAATCCTGCTTTAAAATGTAACTGATTCCACTACATATTAAGTAATAAGTCTAGACAATATATTCCTTAAGTCGATTTGCTGCTGGTTTGGGTTATAACCACAAAATCTATGAGAAATCTGAGTAGGTACTACAAAGTACTGTTATAATTTGAAACAAAGTTGCACTTTAACTTTAGAATCAGCAAATGACTTTCAATCTTGCGCAAAATTCGATTTTCAGTCAGCAATTAAACAACATCAAAGACCTTAGAAATTGACAACTTTATATCAGATATTTATTAAGCTGGTCCCGCTTACTTCATATCAATAAGCCTTAATTTCACACCAATAAACCACAAAATCTCACAAATGTCAATCTTGATTCATTAAATTCATTTGATAATTTAATTTTCAAAACCTCATAAACCATAAAAACTTAATTACTGATCAATTAATCTCCTATTTAGTCCGAGGTCGCCATTTCCTTTCGCTCGACGAGTTCGAAAATAAAGTTGTCCACGCACATGAAAAAATGTCTTGGAAATTATCAAGCAATTATCACTCAATCATATCTGAACCAGAGTTGCGAAACAGGCACCTGTGACAGGTGAGAACCCTACAATTCCTCGATAATTTATAAGGTTTTTCTAACAAAACCATACAAATTATCAAGGAATTACACGGTTCCCACCTGTCACAGGTGGCCTGTTTCGCAGCTCTGATCTGAACGTAATTTTGTTTTGAAAAAAAAAATTATGAATTATAAAAATAGCTTTTTTGTGTCTCTTGACATTCCATTACATTCTCAATGTACTATTTTTTATTAAAAATAATATAAAACACGTTATTAGTTGAAGACATTCGAGCAGGTATGTCATTATGACACATTGTTTTTTTTTGCTGCAATTGCATGTATGTATACAACACCGCAAGTTTTGTCATGAAAAGTAGTAAAATGACACTACTCGAAATGCTGTTCTGAATAATCAATTAGCATTAGAAAGATATTCTATCTATGCAAGCAGGTGAAATAAATTCTATGTATTTGCTGTAAGGCTTTCCTATTTCATTAGAGTTTTTAGCTTCTTTGTTGCAAGTTTGACACTCACTTTGGACTAAACTTACAATATTAAGGAATGACGCCAAATTGAGCTTAATTCTAAACATATAAAAATGTCTCAAAACTCAGCTATTCGTGCTATGATCAACATCACAACCGCATGTATTCTGATTTTCATTACAAAATGCGCTCAAATTACCCAATTAAGCACGACAACAAAGAAGTCAATGCTATTTTCTTATGAATAAGCAAAACAGCTTATTTACGCAAATTATTATGCTTCGTTTTTAGCGGTTTTATGTATCTTTACTTATGCTGTCGTTCTTTCGTTGACACAACAATATTCCGCTGGTTGTCAACAAATGTCGTGTATAAACAGTCGCATGCTGCCTCTTATCTATTTAGCTACAATATAATTTAATGGCCAATTTAAAGCGACTCATACGCATTCCGTACAAGCAACAAAAAATAAAAGTAGCGACTTTGATTGTTCAATAGTTTCCTTCTCACACTAATTGCATTCTGACATTCACAATTCTATTCATAAAAATACATTCTGAACGAGAAAGAGAGTTCCTAATGAATTTATTTGCAGTTTTCTTGATTTTAATGAATATCATTCTTTTCAGTTCAACGTCCTGTTGATATAAAGAATCGTCCACGTATTCCAATACCTGATGAAGATCCATACAGTGAAGCAGGAAATAGTGCAAGCAGTTCAGGTTCATCGGCTGGCGGTAGTGGCTCAGCTGGTGAAGGAAATGGAAGAGAACGCGTCGCAGCTACACGTGATCAACTTTTAATACAAACACAACTGATTGGCACTCGAAGGACCGAGAAACCTCCACAATTGCCACCAAGAGATAATGTCTATCATCATGACATGCCAAAAGTAAGTACATAATTTTTTTTATTTTTTGAAATATGCAAATTTATAATCTGATTTTCTCGATAAATTCAATTTATAAAAAATATAGCCCGATTATGATGACATTGAAGGAAGCAATGGAGGAATTTTAAAGCCATTGGTCCGAGGTGGAAAATCTGACAAAGGCAAGGATAAGCAGAAGTTCGGTAAGAAATAGCAAAATTCAATTTTTGTGGCTTATTCTAATATTTCCTCAATGTTATTCCTTAAATCTCTAGATGATCCTTACTATTGTGGCTTAAAAGCACGTGTGCCAAATTTTGCAAAAGGCAATGGTATAAATAGTAGCAATGCTAGTAATAAAGAGAGTAAAGCAGTTAATGGGACGATAAGTGAGAAAAAGACAACTAGCTTCTTTGGCGTTAAAAAGGAAAGTAAGAAGGATAAAGACAAGGAAAAAGAAAAAGAAAAGGAGAAGGAAAAGGAAAAAGAGAAAGAAAAGGAATCTAAGGACAAAGATTTAGTATCACCAAAACAACGTCCATCAGTTGCACATATGCCACATCCAGCATCATTCTCAACTTTGTATCAATTGCATCAAATGCAAAATGGAGTGGTTAATGGAACCCTTAAGCACAACGGAATTTACAATCGTCACTTTTCACATCCGGAGCCGTACATGTGGCATGCTAAAAGCTATGAAAGTGGAATAGGTAAGATTCGGAATATCTCTTAATATTTTTAGAATTGGCAAATCTTGGTAAGGTTGAGGCTATTTTTATCATGTAAATCAAAATGTCATCAATGGTCAATGGCTTGTTAGTGGATTGAGATAGCCAAATCAAATACTCAGTACTTCAAGCTGTGATTACTTCATTGGAACAATTGTGAATCACTGTGAATTTTAAAATCTGTGACCTTGACGTTCATATTGTTAATAAAACATGCTTGTTGAAAGGAATTGAAGATTTGTAAATAATTTGAGGTCCTAGTTGTTAATGAAATCAAGGATTTTAGGAAAGAACCTTGTCCAACCTTAGCTATACATAGTTAAGCCGCCTGACATTTGCCATTCTTAATAAACCTTTGATCATACTAACCATAATTCTCTTACTTTTATCCCATTTGACTCCAACTAGCAGAATCAGAATTCGACCCTCAATACTCACCGTACGGACGCCTTCCAACTCCTTCAAGAGGATATGTACCAGTTGTGCCACGAACAATGTATGTCGGTGATTGGGAATAACATCAAGCTACATGCCTTACCAAATTCACACGAGTCATTGAGAGAGAAAGAGACGGATGAACGCTGAACATTTTAAAAATTTAAATTTTTTCTTATTTTTACTGACAAATAAATGAATCGATTGGGAACCAACTTAGGAATTAAGTTCTGTGATAATCAGAAGAAGAAAAAAAAGTAAGAAGAAGGATGAAAATTTGTGTAAATATTTCCGACATAAATAATTTTTTATAAATGTATAGAATCCTCAAATAATTGGCTTATAATCGGTATTAACCAGATATTGAGTTTTAAGGGTCTATTTTATGTGTACTTAATTTTTTTTCTGAATGCTGCCAATATTCATGAGTAATAATTATTGACAAGTTGACTCGACCTTGCTTTGTTGTGTATGTGAGCTAGGGAAAATTTTATATTTCGCATTTTGGGGTCATTTAACAGTGACTTCAATTTTATATGACGCTCTTAATACTTCATCTTGCTTTGATATCTCTTTCGTACCTAGATACTTTCTTATTCAATAATCAGAGAATATCAAAACATCTAGATCCTTGCCTCTAGTGTTTAATAAAAAATTATGGAAATTGAATTGAGTCGATAATTTTTGTTCATTGAATAGAAATGTTAATTATCTTTTAATTCTGATGTGGAAGACTTGACGTTGTGTTAAAATTGAAAGTATGAATTAGCTCGCGAATTAAACCTTGCATTTTTTTTGGACAAATTTATTAATTAAAATTCTTTGTTTGAGGAAGTGATTAATTGGCAATTATATAAATACCTACTTTTATGAAAAAAAAATTGCTGAGCCGGTATAAAAACCTTTTGATTATCTTTAGAAACTTCGGGAAGTGAAAATTTTTGCTGATTTTTAAATCTAATGAGTCAATGAACATTAAGTGAGTTAATGACGTTAACAGATGCATTTAGCTTCATTTTCTCAGTTACTAATGTGATTTTTATTGAATCATATTGATCAGTTTTCAATGGAATGTACCTTAATTTGAATTTGACTTCTTGCAGATAAATTCAAAATTTATTCGAAACAAAAAGTACGTTAAAATTTTCAAAAACTGTTAGAAATTTCATTTTAATGGGTATTATGAGAACGACACTGCCAATGTTAATGTTTGTTTTTTCTCCTACAAAATTATTTCTGCCACTTGAATGTAAAACCAAAATCTAAACACCAAAAAAAATTTTAAAATATTGCAATGAAAAGTGAAATTTTTAACGGTTTTTTAAAATTTGAATTTTTTTCGTCATTTTTTAACGATTCAATCTTAATTCATTGCCAATTTTCACTTTTTAAATCCCAAAGTCCAATAAATTATTTAAATTAATATCTTTTTAATTCCTCTTTTATACCCAAATGTTTACTGCAACTCCATAATTCAACTAAGCACTGGAATATTTGACACGTTAAGCTGTTTCTTAATTTTCATTTATTTAATGTTGGAAACAGCTCTGCATTTAATAACACGTTCCACTTTGTTTCCACAAAAATAGAAATGCCTTACCTGTTGTCATACAAACCACGGTTGATTCAACTTGCATATTTTAAACTAGATATTTACGGAATTAAAAGCTCAAAGTCTATTAAATAATCGAAATGTAAAGAAGAAGTAAATACAAGTCTTTGATCTTTTTATTTCTATTATAAATTTTTTTTATTAGATAATTAGATGTAAATGAAAAAAAAGAAGGAGATGAAAAAATGAGCAAAAAGTAAATAAGATGATGAAGAAAAATAACATTTAAGTTGAAAAAACAATATTCTTTTTTGTATAAAAATTTTTCTTTGATTTTTAAAAATTTCCACTCTTTCTTTTTTTACAAATTTTAAACTTTTTTTTGAAAATTATTACAAATCATTTTATTTTTTGTGTAAGACATAAATGTAATGTGTAATGATGTTAATAATTATGTTCACATCGATCAATTTGTAACATTAAAAGAAATTATAGTTAAATGTAATAACAAAGAATTGTTTTCATTTTTTTTTCTTCTATGACCTTACAGATGTTTGGAGTATGTGATCATCGTATAGACATGGCTTTTATTGCAGTTATTTATAGCTGAAACGAACAATTCATGTTTGACTTATCGAAAGTCTAAGGGTGTTATAATAAACCCGTTCGAAAAATTTAAATTTTAAAAAACCGTTACAATTTACAGTCATTTTACTAGAGTTTTTGATTTCCTAATTTTGGAAAATTCGAACTGCAGGTTATGAAACTTCGAATATTGTTTGGCAGACAGACAAAAAAGACATTTTCACAAGATTCCAAGAAAAACTGTAAAGGTTGAAACCATCGAAATGATTGTATCAGATTTATAGATGTCTTTGAATTCGAACTTATATAAACGGATATAAACCTGTGCGGTGTTTTGATTTAGATTTAGAATTCAACCAGTTTGAGATTCTATTCCAAATTTTATAAATGACCCAAATTGACTCCAGAAACTTGAGAAATAAATGTCCATTTTGACCTTCAAAACAACGGAAGTGATTAAAAAAATTCATTATCCAGTAAAACCTTTAAAAAAAGACACCTCGTCACTGGAACTACATCATCACGTTTTCAAATTAAATTGTCGCTTTGAGCTTGCTCGCATACAAAGCAAAATTGTTTCTCTTATGTGTGCTTTCACCTGCACAGCTCTTCCATAATTTATAACACATAAAAAACACGAATTACGTAGAAAGCCACAAACTTCCACGCTTGATTTACATTAGATAACAAAAAAGTTGCCAAATAAGAATATTATGTTAAAGTACTATGTGTTTCGTCAATTTTTTTAAGATGAGAAATCTAATAAAATATAAAATCTTTAAGTCGTTGACAGATGCTTTCAATGTCTGTAAAAGGATACTTTTGATAGGAGTCTTAGATATAGAAAGGATCAAAAGTATCCTTTCACAGACATTGAAAAGTTACAAACATCTCAAACTGAATTTTAAGTAAAGTAGTCATGAAAATATAACTAAATATTAAAACTCTAATATCTTTAGAATTTTTTTTTCATTTGCGAAAGCTATGTTATTATCTCGAGAACTTCAAAAAAATTAAACCTTCAGATATTTTAAGTTTTACTTTCAAAAACCAAAATTGCTTTAAATTGCATTTTAAAACATATCTAGGTATTATAAATGATAACAAATGCTAATATAGATATAAAATCGATATTTTTTTGAAAATAGCCTACTATGATCAAAAACCAAAAATGCTTTAAATTGCATTTTAAAACATATCTAGGTATTATAAATGATAAAGAATGCTAATATAGATATAAAATCGATATTTTTGAAAATAGCCTACTATGACCAAAAACCAAAATTGCTTTAAATTGCATTTTAAAACATATCTATGTATTATAAATGATAACAAATGCTAATATAAATATAAAATCGATATTTTTTGAAAATAAACTACTATAATCGAAACCAAAAATGCTTTAAATTGCATTTAAAAACATATCTAGGTATTATAAATGATCAAAACCAAAAATGCTTTAAATTGCATTTTAAAACATATCTAGGTATTATAAATGATAACAAATGCTAATATAGATATAAAATCGATATTTTTTTGAAAATAGCCTACTATGATCAAAAACCAAAAATGCTTTAAATTGCATTTTAAAACATATCTAGGTATTATAAATGATCAAGAATGCTAATATAAATATAAAATCGATATTTTTTGAAAATAAACTACTATAATCGAAACCAAAAATGCTTTAAATTGCATTTAAAAACATATCTAGGTATTATAAATGATCAAAACCAAAAATGCTTTAAATTGCATTTTAAAACATATCTAGGTATTATAAATGATAACAAATGCTAATATAGATATAAAATCGATATTTTTTTGAAAATAGCCTACTATGATCAAAAACCAAAAATGCTTTAAATTGCATTTTAAAACATATCTAGGTATTATAAATGATAACAAATGCTAATAAAGATATAAAATCGATAGTTTTTTGAAAATAGCCTACTATGATCAAAAACCAAAATTGCTTTAAATTGCATTTTAAAACATATCTAGGTATTATAAATGATAACAAATGCTAATATAGATGTAAATTTAATATTTTTTTGAAAAAAGCCTACTATGATCAAAACCAAAAATGCTTTAAATTGCATTTTAACACATATCTAGGTATTATAAATGATAAAGAATGCTAATATAGATATAAAATCGATATTTTTTTGAAAATAGCCTACTATGATCAAAAACCAAAAATGCTTTAAATTGCATTTTAAAACATATCTAGGTATTGTAAATGATAACAAATGCTAATATAGATGTAAATTTAATATTTTTTTGAAAATAGCCTACTATGATCAAAAACCAAAAATGCTTTAAATTGCATTTTAAAACATATCCAGGTATTATAAATGATAAAGAATGCTAATATAGATATAAAATCGATATTTTTTTAAAATAGCCTACTATGATCAAAAACCAAAAATGCTTTAAATTGCATTTTAAAACATATCTAGGTATTATAAATGATAACAAATGCTAATATAGATATAAAATCGATATTTTTTTGAAAATAGCCTACTATGATCAAAAACCAAAAATGCTTTAAATTGCATTTTAAAACATATCTAGGTATTGTAAATGATAACAAATGCTAATATAGATGTAAATTTAATATTTTTTTGAAAATAGCCTACTATGATCAAAAACCAAAAATGCTTTAAATTGCATTTTAACACATATCTAGGTATTATAAATGATAACAAATGCTAATAAAGATATAAAATCGATATTTTTTGAAAAAAGCCTACTATGATCAAAACCAAAAATGCTTTAAATTGCATTTTAACACATATCTAGGTATTATAAATGATAAAGAATGCTAATATAGATATAAAATCGATATTTTTTGAAAATAGCCTACTATGATCAAAAACCAAAAATGCTTTAAATTGCATTTTAAAACATATCTAGGTATTATAAATGATAACAAATGCTAATAAAGATATAAAATCGATATTTTTTGAAAATAGCCTACTATGATCAAAAACCAAAAATGCTTTAAATTGCATTTTAAAACATATCTAGGTATTATAAATGATAACAAATGCTAATATAGATATAAAATCGATATTTTTTTGAAAATAGCCTACTATGATCAAAAACCAAAAATGCTTTAAATTGCATTTTAAAACATATCTAGGTATTGTAAATGATAACAAATGCTAATATAGATGTAAATTTAATATTTTTTTGAAAATAGCCTACTATGATCAAAAACCAAAAATGCTTTAAATTGCATTTTAAAACATATCCAGGTATTATAAATGATAAAGAATGCTAATATAGATATAAAATCGATATTTTTTTAAAATAGCCTACTATGATCAAAAACCAAAAATGCTTTAAATTGCATTTTAAAACATATCTAGGTATTATAAATGATAACAAATGCTAATATAGATATAAAATCGATATTTTTTTGAAAATAGCCTACTATGATCAAAAACCAAAAATGCTTTAAATTGCATTTTAAAACATATCTAGGTATTGTAAATGATAACAAATGCTAATATAGATGTAAATTTAATATTTTTTTGAAAATAGCCTACTATGATCAAAAACCAAAAATGCTTTAAATTGCATTTAAAAACATATCTAGGTATTATAAATGATAAAGAATGCTAATATAGATATAAAATCGATATTTTTTGAAAATAAACTACTATGATCAAAAACCAAAAATGCTTTAAATTGCATTTAAAAACATATCTAGGTATTATAAATGATAAAGAATGCTAATATAGATATAAAATCGATATTTTTTTGAAAATAGCCTACTATGATCAAAAACCAAAAATGCTTTAAATTGCATTTTAAAACATATCTAGGTATTATAAATGATAAAGAATGCTAATATAGATATAAAATCGATATTTTTTTGAAAATAGCCTACTATGATCAAAAACCAAAAATGCTTTAAATTGCATTTTAAAACATATCTAGGTATTATAAATGATAAAGAATGCTAATATAGATATAAAATCGATATTTTTTTGAAAATAGCCTACTATGATCAAAAACCAAAAATGCTTTAAATTGCATTTTAAAACATATCTAGGTATTATAAATGATAACAAATGCTAATATAGATATAAAATCGATTTTTTTCGATTTTCAAGTGGCTATAGCAAGTCATGCTAAAGTCAAAATATAGTCATATGGGGTATTTTTGTAGAGCTCTTGCTGAGAAAAAGGTTTTCCATTTTTGACAGCTTCAAAACTACTGAAAATTTGAGAATTTCGAAAAATGATTCTCGGGCCCCCTAATTGTTTATGTTGTGTGATCAAATGGCAAAAGAATTATTTTCGGAGACCCTTATGGCTTGGCTGTGACCCGGCGTTTTGAAGGCATAGATGATGTCCAAATGTAAAAGTTTATGTACAGAAAAATCTGGCCTCCTAATATACGCATTTTGGTACCCTTTGAGATTTTTGAAAATCCTGAGTCCTTCAGGCTGTATTAAAAAAAGTGTGTTTTTCGTGAAGCTAATAACTTACACGCTTTTGCGTGGAAGTTAATGCAGCGAAATAATAAATTCCATAATTTCCGTAACATTTTTAAGAAGAAGACGAAGTTTTATTTTGTGTTATGAATGTCTCATGAATTTTTATGCTGTATCTTAATTAGATAGGAGACAATTTTTTTTTGTCGTAATAATTGAATTGTTGCTGCACTGCAATTAATTGCTTTCCTTCTTTCACTTTATGCAAGTCTTTTTTGCTATCTTTTCATTTGAAATCTATTTTTTATGCTTGTTTTCGTGAAGCATGAAAATGCACAATGGGACATATCAGCATATGATAAAATCAATAGAGTCACAGTTTAAAATATTGAATTACAGAAGTTTGTATGCAAATTTTTCTTGGCGTCAGTATTAATTGTTATATAATTTCTTTTGGATTAGATTGTTTATAGTAAACGAACTTCCGAACAAAAGTTTTGAGGCAGTGGTGGGTAATATGAAAGGGTTTAATAATTGAGGATGGAGTAGAATGTACAACGCTAGATGAGCTGACTATATTGTTCATCTAGTGAAATTTCTCATTGTATGACTCAGTAGGTTTACATTCAACAAGCTTTTTGCCATCAAGGAAAAATATATGTTTGTCAGGTATTGGCTTTAAGCTCTGAATGGTAGTTATTATTGACTCTTACAAACAAAGGTTCGATATTACAATTATTGAGATATTGGATATTTTTCTTTAAATGATCAATTTTTTTGGAATGGTTCATCTTAACTTCATCAAAATCCCAACTCTGTCATAATTTTTTTGCATGCTTTTGCTGAAATCTAAAATAAATCTTATTTAATTGCACGAATCTCGTCTTAAAAGCGAAAAAGAAAACATTTGATATATTAGATTAGTTAAGTAACAATGCAACATATGTGGAGCTGAACAAATTGAATAAAAGTGTAAAGGCATGGTTTATTATTAATTACTATTTATTTTTCTTTATAAATCTCTTTCTTAATTAATTTCTTAACACTTTAATATTGCCTAACTTAAAATAAAAAAATGAATCTTTTTAATAATTTTTTATTATAATTTTAATTAATATTTGCAGCATGTTTCAGAGTCAAAAACTTGAAATTTTGTCGATGAAAATGAAAATAAGAAAAGAAAAAAAATTAAAAATATTTCACAAAACATGTGCGAAAAATTTAAATTTTTTAACAATAAGAAAAGTTCATTTTTCATGCATAAAAGCATGTTTTTGTGTCTCTGATGAATCGAGGCTGCTTATTTGAGTATTTGTCAATTAGGTTTTTGTATACAATTTTTTTACATGGACATTTTATAATAAAACTTAACATTTACATGCTAATTGGTAGAGAAAATGGTAATTTTAGCTTCACATTTTATATTTACAATTTCTTCTTCTTAGCCTTAAGAATTCTTTACAACTAATTATCTAGTCGACTTCACGTCAATGCCAAATGAGAATGCTTACTTGTGGATATCCACAAGTCACTATTAACATTTTAAATACATCGACAATGAAAATCGTGGAGTAATCTTTTTCATATTTTAATTATTTATATTTTTTTTTCAATAAAAATCTAGTTCCATCTACACAGAACGCTTTGATCTCATCAACTTTTTTTACTTCTTCTTCTTTATACACAAGACTTAATGGCTAACATGAATATTAAGAATATGCACTTGATACAATGTCATAGATAATAGATCAAAATGTAAAGTTCTTAACAATTTTAATAGTAAATTCATTCCTTTCTTTAATCTCTAGAATTTAAATTACTTTTTTAAATTTTCACTTTCGACTTTGATTCTTTATGTTTGTTCAGTAGCAATGAAGAATGATTTTAATTATAATTAAGTAAAAAATCAGCCAAACATTCTCGATCATTAAAAAAATCAATAATCAAATTAAATTATTTTGACTTTAACTTTCAAAAAGGAAGTTCAGATGAGAAGGAATCAAGCTATTAATTAAATAAATTGTAATAAACTTTTTAAAAGCTCCATTTTTGCATAAATGATTCACATTCTAAACTTAACATTGTATCATCTTTTATGCTTTTGACAAAAGGAGGAAATACATATGCTCTTAAAAAATCAATAGAAAGTGGATACTTATATTACTCAATGAGAGATAATTAAAGCTAATTTGATGCTTACGTCGACTTACATTTTAATAACAATGTGATGCAAAATTTTTAACTATAAGTTGCTCTTTTTCTATGAATACTGTAGGTTTTATGGTACATATATGCTTTTTAATTCGAATAGCTAAAGCTATTGATTATTGTAGCTTCAGTGCATAATATTATTAAACATTAATTTAATTACAGATATTTAAACTAAAAGACTTTATTTCTTGCCTTATGATGATTCAATTAAATGATTTTTTCTCTCTCTCTTCATTTTATCGGCTAAATGGATTTTTTTATTAAAAGGCTGTAGTTTAGTCCCAATCACCAACATACATGCGCGGCTGAGCAACGTAGCCTCGTGTAGGTAATGGCATTCTTCCATATATCTGATAAGGTGATTCCTCTGAATCTAATTAAAGGAAAGAAATGAAGAAGATTTTTTTTATTGACTTTCGAGATGAAGGACTAAGCAAAGAGTGGCATCTGGGGTGGAAAATAGAATGACTTGCTGGTTAAAATGATAATTAATTAAAATTATAAATTTGCATCAATTTATTTTAATTGTGAAATGATTCGCGTCATTTTTTAATCATTTTGCATCTTCTTGCAAAACTTTGCATCTTTTTGCAAAACTTTGCATCATTTTGCAAAACTTTGCATCATTTATGTTGAACTCAAACTTAAAATTTCAAAGTTTTTCCAACATTTTGCTTTTTTTTTTAAGTTTTACATGAAAGTTGTGCAGAACTTAATAAAATCATTCAATGTCTACATTTAATCTATAAATTTCAATAAAATTAAATGTTTAATATTAAAGTCTTCCAAACTGGGTCAGTTCAGAACTAAGCACCAAGTCATCCTTCATTGCATCTCATTGCCAGTAAGTAAAAATCATTAAGAATTCTTTCACTTAATCTTACCAATTCCACTTTCATAACTTTTGGCATGCCACATGTTATATTGTGACTGTTGATGAGATGACGGCAGTTGTTGATGATGATATAAGTCTCTGCCATTTCCGTGCATCATTGGCGGTGCCACAGACATTTTCTTACTATGTTCTTTCTCTTTTACTAATTTATTGCTGATGTAATTGCTATTTTTATCGACTATTCTACTCGGTGGTTTGTTGGCTTTCACGAAATTTGGTACGCGAGCACGAAGACCACAATAGTATGGATCATCTGTAAGTAGGAAGATGGAAATAATTAAAGATACATGACAAGATAAAATCACTATAATTTACAATGGGTGATGATGAGCATCAGATCATTTTAATTTAATTTAGAAAGCATCTAATTCAATTTTAAATTGTTCATGACAAATTGTTACAGTGATTGGCGAAAAGATCCGATTGTATAACATTACTTCAAGTGGAAGACATACGAAAGAGCTGAACAGCATCAATTTGCATTTTTCAGCAGCTTTCGCTCTAAATGAAATAATAGAAGTAAATTTTTTTACAGTCTGAAGATCACTCGATTGTATGGTAAATATTCTTCAAGGGTCGGTTACATGCGACGACTTTTTTTTTTCTTTTTGTCTGAATTGAATGATGCTTTATTGTTCGAGAAATTAGCTGAGCATGGAAATGTTTAAAAGCTTTTGTTATTAAGTAATAAATTCATTTAGGCTTATTTGCTTGCTGTACTCTTAATGATGATGAATAAATGATTCGATTATGTACGCTCCAGATTGTCCACAATGATTATTTTTGTGATGAATGGGAGTCGATAATAGGCTTTGTTGAAAAAAATATTTAGATACTTGAAGTAGAAATTATGTGGGGTTTTTGGAAGTAGTAATTAAGTATATTGCGAAAAATTTCACCAAATCGTTTGTTTTTAATGTTAAACATTAGGAATTGAGGAAGTCTTAAAATTTAAAAATATGACGAGCAATCAGTCTTAATATTTGACTCTTTACTTTCACTTATTGAAGATGGATCATGATAATCTAGTGAGTAGATTTGTTTCTTAACTGTTTTTCAAAATCTATAGCTACTAAAATACAATGTTAAGTTGAAATTGATGTCAACAGAAGTGACGATATTAGCATTTTAATAAGCAAATTAAGAGATTCTTTAAAAACAAAAATAATCAACATTGAATTAATTTTCAATATCAACTTACTTGCTTATTACATATATTAGCAATGAAGAATCGAATTTATGCTTAATTTTCACACCAAAAGGGTTTGTTTTACTTAGCTAATGATTATACCAATATTAAAACTCATATCCGAGTCTGATTTAATTCGTGACACAATCCAAAAATCAAAATTAAAGGATTAAAAACGTTTGAATTAAGCAACAAAATACTCGAGATTATTGAAAATTTACTTTCATAAACAACGTATTTAAGATATAATAAATTTCGTGATATTATGCTAATTACAGTGAATCTCTTAATTTGACTTTCAAACCAAACACTTTAAAATCGACAGGAAAGTGTTATAGCTTTGAGCATTAAGCAAGGCTTGTTTATGGTCTTGTGAAAATTATTACATATCTTCGAACTTAATATCCACTCCATTATTCCTAATTGAATTCATTACTTTTACTTAAAGTTTTAAGCAAGACTTTAAAAATGCAAATTTTGAAGCACCATCCTTTTTTTTTCAAACTTTCTGACGTGAAATGCATTAGCAAGTAATAGAATGATTTTGCGCAAAAAATGAGCTGACAAATCACGACTTAACTTTTACGAGGTGTGGAATCTTCTTCTTTGAAAATTTATATTAAAATGTCGATGCCCAAAATGAAATTACAGAATTGTAATATTTTTGATGATTTTATGACTTCGGCATTGACTGAATTTTTTTTCTAAATTGAAAATTTGTAAACGAAAAAATATGAAACATCGAGGAAGTTTTGCAATTGCTGGATGGTGTGGAATCGAATTCAGTCAAGTCATTAATCTACCTAGCTAACTTAACCAGAATGGAACGAGTCGGTTAATCGATCAGAAATCTCTCACCAAGCCAAAATGAGTCTCGCATGGTGCTAGACTTAAAAGAAAGCAGCATCATATTAGAGTCATAACGGCTTTGTGCCGGATTTCTGAACGATGAACCAACTTGTGCTTCTCGGGTAAAGTCTTTTAAATTCCCATTTCTGCTCAAGACATCAAATTAAAAAATTCTCAGATCCAACAATAATCCAATTTTCTTCGAAACCATCTTCCTCAACAATTTACAGCACAGTCACAAGTCGAATAAATAATCCATAAAATGATTTCAAAAAACCATTACATCAATAATAATTCTTTAAATAATATCCCCTTGACTTCTCTCTTATTTGTCGGGTTTTTAAGATTTTAATCGCGACACAAAAAAAAAGATTTTTTTTATTTCTTTTGTTTCTCTGCATGCAGCCCCAGCAGTCACAGTGTAACAACAACACAAAGTTCTTGTGTAATGGTGCTTCCAAAAACGAAAGTAAATGGCAAATGTTGCGTAAATTGTAATTTTATGTGGATTTTTATCCAATTTTCATGACATTGAAATATTTTTATTATATTTATCAAAAAACTCATTAAATTCTATTAGCTTATAAGCATTATTTTCACCGCATGATTATTTCGTATTATGTAAATATGCAATAATTGTAAATTGAACGTTATCAAAGCGGTAGACGGAGGTTGTATGAGTGCCAGGAGAAAAGTAAAGAATTGAAAAGAAAATTTCGTAATTATCCATGCAATGTGTCTGGGAATTTAAAGTCACTTTTTATACATATCGAGAGTAAAAGATCACAAATTGTTACAATCATGCTTACAACTATTTCTACTTTTTTCATTACTTATTTATTATTTTTTAAGACCTCTTGCAACTTGAATATGCAATTTTTTTTTGCCTCTCTTAACCTGTCTCACATTTTTAATTCCTCTCGATTTATGCAAATTTTTGTAGTTCTTGTTGACTTTAAAAATACAGAAGTTTCTATGCACGGTGGAATTTTGTCTTTTGTTTGTTGTCTAACTTGATTTCTATTTGAATTGGACAAGATTCTTTAATCAGAATACATTCTGAGATGCACGGACTGCAATGACATAGCTTTTGCTTTTGTTCTTTAAAAAATGACATTAAATTATGTTTTGCAGCTTGTGGCTTTTTGAGATTTATTAAGTCTCATTGAAACCTAGGCTATCAATAGCTTTAAAATCATAGCTAGTAAACTAATTCAAATTCGTCCCACATTCCATTTGACTTTTAAACTTTTTTCACTTTTTATTAAGCGGAGACATTAAAAGGCATGAAAAAAAAAATTTCCCTAGTTAAAATATTCGCGTACGTATCAGGCTAGAATCTTCTGTGATATTTTTCTGTGTCTCAAAGTTCACATGTGCTATGTACTAAAAAGGCTTTTTTTCTAGATCTTTTTTTTTACATTTTTTCGTGTGCATAAAAAGAAAGGAAAATAAATAATAAATGGAGACGAAGATTAACGACATGCGATTATTATGCTGACTGGCGCACAGAAGAGAATTTCTATTGACCTCGAGTCTCACATCTACAAAGTAAGAATTAACTGCAAATTCGATGAATAAACAAAAGCCAAATTATTTCATTTTATTTGACTTCTTTCAGCCAATAATAGACCCGACGAATGCCGATAAATGCTTGCAAAAGGCAGCATTTTCTTTGAAGAATATCATCGTCCTGATTTAACAAGAACTATGGAGGCAAAAAGAGAATAAATAATGCGAATATAAAACGACATCGAAACGGATCTAAGAAATGAAATCTCAATTATTTCTCCATGCCTTCCCATTCTACTTCTGATTCTTTTTATTAGCGCATTTCTTCATTGTGCAAATTTGATTTTAAAGGCGAGTCTAATTTTGGTAGCAACAGTTGATTCTACATTTGTAATTGATCTTGTTAGTGAACAATTAATGACATTGGAATTGACTGTTGATATTCTTTGTGCTGAATTGAAATCGATTGTTTATTAAAATTTGTAATTTAGCACCTTGTGATTAATCAGCCGGCATTGTCAAATCTATTGGTATGCTGTTAATTAATTGGAATCTTTTGCAGAACTATTAGTCAAATATTAGTGTAGACTAGATCAAAAGCCAGGAGTTAGAGCTAAGAATTCAGAACACGAACTTCAATCTTCAACAGTAAAGAACTAATCTAATTAGCATGAATCACTTCCAAACCACAAATGTGCTACAAATGATCACTTTCCATCTTTACCTCAATTTACATCTAATGTCTAACCTCAGTTAACCAACTTAACTTCATTTGCGGCACAAAAGCAACAAAACGATTATTTTTGCATCAAATAAAATGTGGAACGCAGAAAAATAGAGATCATTAAAAGAAGTCGTGAATGGGTCAGTTTCCTACATTAAAATCTCATCGAAACTAGAACACATGTATTGGTAGCTCAAATGCCTTCCGTCCTTACACAATGTTGAACGCTAAACAATGCATAATTGCCTGCCTTAAACATCTATCAAAAATGTTCCTATTTTCATATTTTTTCGCTTAAAAACTGTTCATATTTTACAGTATTTATTGTTTAATGGTGATTATATTCGTAAATGAAATATAGCAGTCTGGTCATTCGGTTTTTTGTGCACTTTACACAATACCCTATTCATCATGAAAGAAGGCGACGACAGGTAATTTTATTAAAAATTTTTTGATTGCATTTCAACACAATTCTTCAAAATGATACCTTTCCATTTTATTTAAGGGTTCATGACTGCTCAGGCAGTTCTTGCCACCAGATGAAACTCATAATTCAAAATGAGGGACCGAGCGTGCCAAAACAATAATTTCGCAATTGAAAAACCTGCAAACACCACAAATTTAATTTCACAAGAAGTTCGATGAAAGCCATTTTATGCACGATCAAACAAAGTTGCGATTATCGTGTCATGATCTTTATGATCAATTGTCTCTTTGATTTGTATCATAATCATATTCTTATTCAGTAATAAATGCGTTCGACTTGGAATATTTTCTTCATCATAAATTAAGATAACTCATCGAAATGTCAAAGAAATGATTAAAGGTGATATCTTGATGATGCGTGATTGCAGAAAAAATTATTCGCTTTTCAATCATCTTTACTTGTTGGGTTCCTCGATTTGAGTAAGTGTTTTATTCCAGAAAAATCCAGTTCTCATATCGAGGACTCCCCAGTAATAGTTTTTTAACAGTCGTTTCAATTTCAAAAATTTCTTCGTTAAGTTTCGATAAATTAACAAAAACTTTAAATTTAAAAAGAACGTTTCCCACAAATTAAAACTCAATCATCATTGAATAGTAAAATAATCGGACTTAAACATCATTCAACAACCAATTTACTTGCCACAAACAAAGCAAGCATGTGCATGAAAACAACCTAGTAAGGTCATGCCATTTCCATTTCATTACGTTGCTTGTTAATGCACCAAGAAGAAGAAGGTAATGAAAATCTTTTTTATGACAAATGAGCAATTAGTTGTGCATTGGCATGAAGTGCATAGACTTACCATATTTCATTTTATCTTTGCCCTTGTCAGACTTTCCTCGCGCCATTAATTTGATTCGATTTTCGTCCTCAATGTCATCATAGTCAGGCTGTAAATGGAAATTTTTTAAGTTTGTCCATTAATTTTAGACTAAATAAGTGCTGAAAAAGAAAAGAGTGACTTACTTTAGGCATGTCATGGTGATAGACATTATCCCGAGGCGGCAATTTTGGAGGCTTTTCGCTCCTTTTATTACCAAACTGTTGTGCTTGTATCATAAGCTGTTCGCGTGTAGCAGCAACACGATCTCTGCCAATCTCACCTGATGACCCAGATGCTCCAAATCCAGATGATCCTGAACTACCACCACCATTACCAGCTACACTGTATGGATCTTCATCTGGGATTGGAATTCTTGGACGGTTCTTAATGTCAACCATTGACGGACGTTGAACTGTAAAATAGAATTGAAAGAATTTTGTTAAAGTTACGTAAAAACTGTTATTGAAATTTAAATTGCAAATCAATTCATGACAAGAAGACTCATGTTCTGTTCATAAATTATTAATTGACTTTTTTTTTTACTAAATTACAAATTCATGTGACACAACCTCGCTTCTCTGCCTATTGTATAATCCACAAGTCACATTTCACTATTGAAGGCATAAAAGAAGTGACAAAATATCTTTTCAGGAATAAAAAAAAAGATTTACGATTTTTAATTCGGGTGGGCTTAATTTTCGAGAACTAATTCTGACTGTGCGGTGATTTCAATTCTTGGCATGGCGTGTAGATTATTTAAAGTGACATACGATGACATCACTGCTTTGTATGCTTAATTATTCATTCCCTTGAAGCGTGATCATCTTCGTTATTAGTTTAAAGGTTCAAATTGTTGATGAAATTTCAAAAATAATTGAGAAATTATTTTTTTGGTGTGAATTTTGTGTTGATCTTGGTTTTGAGGTAGGTTGGCTGCTTTGAACAGCTCAGAATGCAATGACAATAAACACACGATACACCTGGCTCAACTCACAATACTCTAAAAACCACATGATAAGAACTTTAATGCAATTTTCCATTACATATGCTTATAACAAGTAGATCATATAACTTGCTTAAAATTCATAACAGCAAATAAGGAAAATGACCATTTGGTGTCATAATATCTACACGATTTCGTACGGGAGTGTACATATGTTTAATATGGTTTAAGTTTTAAGTCTGCTGCGACTCAGCAGGATGAAAGTATGTGGCAATAACTACAGTTATTACATTAAATACTGCATTTTTATTTTGGATTTGGGGTTTATTGAGGCATCAGCAATATGCCCATGAGAATTTTTCGGTATCACAGCAATACACACCTTTGCATCCCCAGAAAACATTTTTCCAATTTTAAATCTCGTATCTTCCTTCAAACCAAAAAAATCTCTTCTATTACTTTTACAGCTTTACCTCCTAAGCTACATATTTTTGTGTAAATAATAAAAATGAACTTTATAATAAAAATTTTACGGTACATGACATAAACACCAATAAGCTTTATGTTCAAATTCAGACAATAGACAATAGAGAACAATTTAAAAGAGGAGATAAGTTATCGTAGAGGCAGACATGAGCAGCAAATAAAATGTTTTGAGCAAATTTCAACAAAAATTTATTTTATTTTGATGAAAAAATTGGTCACGAAATAATTTTTGAGCTACTTGTAAGGAAGCAGAGCGCCATTTGGATGAATGACGAAGGAGAGGAAAGCAATATGGAATGTCAATAAACTTCGAAAGAATCACGGAATGTGCAGTAAACACCAAAAAGTCGATCTAATGTTATTTAACTAGACTTTTATTGTCTATTCTACCTTAATGAACCTTATGAGCATGATCAAAATGATTTATGAAAGTATTATGTAATAATATTTGTAGCAGTGCTTATAATAAAAATGAACGGTGCTGTGCTGCACACCAGATATACTTCGGATAATCCAATTTGCAGTTTTTGTCTTTTTTCAGTAATCATTTCCTTGTTGGCGATGACAAAAAAAAAAACAAACAAGAACACACATTCTCATGGGTCATGTTTCTCCCCGGTAACTGCATATAAGAACATCGTGTCTTAGCCGTGTATGAATAAAAATCTAATTTGGACTTTGTTAGTTGTATCTCAGGGAGATGCTTATACCCATGTCATTCCGCCATACGGTCGCGAAAAATAAACAGAGCGACAGAATTTTTCTAAAACAGATTTTTGTGATGCGATAATTCTACATGTATGAATATAGAATACGGCACGACGCGGCTATTTCCTACACGAAATTCAACTTCCATGTTTAGTGACTGTGTGAGTCGAGCAGCGATTAATTGTTCCAAGTCGATTAAATTCTTTTTTTTCTTCATTTTGTGTGGATTCATCTCGTAGTGGATTTTTAATGTACTTTTTATACAGCTACAACAACACGTGTGCGTACCTTTCATGTTCATAATTTCACTTCTATTCTTTGTTCTTAATCCGATGAGATTGCGAGAGGTCATAAAAATAGTTTTTGCTTTCTCATCCACCTTCAAGAATATGAGGAACCCGAGCTGTGACTGTTTTGGACTATATTTTAGTCGATTTTTTGGGTAAAATGAGGAGTTTGGCAAATATGTGTGACATTTGATCCAGAAGCTTTATATCCTCAATTTTAAATGCACATTTTCTTATCAAATTCTGGATCATATAGCTTGGTAACCCAATAGAGTTGGTTGAAATTGTTAGAAAATCTGCCCCAAAGTCAAAATCTTGACAGCATATGCAGCAATCAAGAAGTCATCAAACTACACTTCCCGGGAAAACCGCTTATATTAAAGATGAAAGATAATAGAAAGTTTATTTTCCTATAAATAAAAGCCTTTTTTAATCAGCTTTGCATCTCATGTAGTACAAAAATTCTATTGCTGCTCCTTTATTTGCTATCTCGGAAATAATAAAAATAGTCTGGTTATTGAACTTCTAAGCTTCCATATGTTCACATCAAGCATAAGTAAATCGTCTTTTCTATACTTAAAATTGTTTGATTTGACAAATTTAAATTTAAATAAATCACAAGCAATATGTCAATCTAGCTGATTACTCATAATGTCTGTCTAAATAAACGTGTCGCGTGTTAATTGCTTATACAAACACATTCATCATTAGATTGCAAACAAAGTGACATTTTACGTTTCATGTTCCGTTATATTGCCATAAAAGCTCGTATGTGAACACATTGAAGAGAATTTGTCGCGGAATCTTTTGGACTTTAAGATGATTATTGGGCATTAAAAAAGTCAAATAAATTTATAGTAATTACATTGGATCTTTTATTCTTTTAAAATGGTACTTCAGACTGACTACGTGTGGGATGTTTACACAATCGATTTAATCGATATGTTTAATCAAATGGATTTATAAATAAATATTCAAAGTGATTTGCTTTTATTGTAATTGAACTAGCACGACGACACTACTTTTGGACTGTGTGTAAATACTTTTAAGCGTACTTTTTATAGATTTCGTGAGGAGGTAAACAAAAAAGATTGTACTGTTAATCGGTAAGTTGTTTGATCAACTAGTTGATTTGTTTGATTGAGGTTAGAATTAATTTATGAAAGTTTTAAGAGTGCTTAAAGGTCTGGAGGATGATTAACCGACAGAATCCACGTATCTCAACATAATATAATCCAAAATGCGGATAAAGTCGTAAAATGTTCATCCAACCCAAAAAAAAACTATTCATAGGATTGCATCGATTATATCTCCAAAAATTAAAAATTTCCAATGATTTTTATGCCTCTTTTTTATTTAAATAGAAATTTCTCATATCGACAGTGCATTAAGATAGCCAAACTTGCAAGCCCATGTCAATCACCAAACAGATGATAGCTGCAAGTGAAAATATGTCGAGATGGAGCTAGTGCGTATCGAATTAATTATCACGTTTAGAGCGACAAACTTGTGAAAATAAGTATGAAGAGCAAGAGAGGAGATGAATTTGAATTAATCGTCGCATTGACTCACTTTCATAAAAAAATGGAAAGCGTGTATCAAGTCATTATGCAATGCGACGATGTTGAATTTTTTTTCTTCATTCAATTTTAAGATGCCAAAAAAAAGATTTAAGACATTAATCAAATATCGAGGCATAGTGTTTATAGAATTTTATTACAATTTTGCTCACCGCTGTGCTATCTCTAGCCTGATTAATTAATTTATGCTGACTTGATGCCAGCTACTTAAACAAAAGTCTCTTAATTGATTAGCAAATATTAAGCAATATTTAAATGCGTGAGAGCACTGTCACACTGAAATATTTTGAATTTGTAACCCTGAGGCCATCAATCAGGCATTTATTACTAATTGGATATCATAAATACCGCATTAATGAAAATTTGTGAGAGTTTAATCAATTTTGGCAGGATCTTTAATATATAAATCATCGTCGTATATGCATCCTGAATTGATATGCGAATTTACTATCAATACAACTGTTACTCTTTATTAAAGCAGTGACAACTACTCACCTAGTGGCAATTTACTCTTCAACATATCCATGGCAACAACATTGACAATCAATACCCAAATAGGACACTCCAACAGATCAGTTTCAGACTTTACGAATGTTAGAACAGATAAACATTGCGTCTCGAGACGTCGCCTGTCTGGATATGAACGGCTCAATTCACGATGTACATTTGATTGAAATTTCTTCATGTCAAAAATCTGTTGGGAATAAAAACAGAATCAGGAATTTAGAATCAATAAGTATGCGGATTATTTTAGGAATGAGAATTTATTGAGTCCATTTTAAAACTTGATTGACAAATCGGTCCATTAGTGAATGTCTCAATACAGACATTATCAGAACTTGATAAATTTTTCTTCAAATTAAAGGATTGCCAGTTAATGACACGAGGAGATTCTTAGACAATTGTATTTTAAGGCAATAAACTTTCCATGCGTTGAACTGTAAGAAATATGATAGCTTCATATATACAGCATGCATGTCCAATAAATTAACAATCATCAATTTACTTCCTTCATCATCAATCCTTACCTTAACAACTTTATCCATCTCTAAGGAATGATTTGGTGCCTTTAGCACTTCACTACCTATTGCCGTCTCTTCATTCGGTGCACTGGCTGTACTTTTAACATAAACATTACTTTTAGAATAACGACGAACTAAAATATTGCCTGCATCGTCCATTTTAATTTTGACACCCTGGAAGCAATAAATAAAAAAATTATTAATTGAGTTTATTTCCTCTTCTTTTTCTTCTGCTTCTGCTTCTATTTCATGTTATTGAATATTTAAATTAGACACAAAACATGGTTGTCATGCATTCAGTTCAACCGAGGTATTTGTACACATATATTATTACTTTTTTGTTGTGGTCAGACCAATCAATCTGGTTGCGCAGGTTATTTTTAACATCTTATGTCTGTAGCAACCTGTTGCTGACTATTTTGACTCTTTTTACGAGCGGCTCTCGTGTAGTCTGTAATGTGTCTGCGACACATAATTTTTGGATTTTTAATTATATTCCTTTGGGGTCGTTGATAAATTCCGTTCGACACAAAACTTATTTTTTGACATTTCAAAGTACCATACAGTTTCAGTCTAACCCTTTTTTAGGTCATTTGTGAATGACCCCTGACATGAATTGAAAGTAAATTGTTTTGTAGCTTTGACAATAATTGTATGCTAATTTCCCTGCAGCTATCGACCGAATGGCAACGGTTTATTGGCAAAATACAACACAGTCTGCATTAAAATTGAATTAAGAATTTTAGAATGCAGTTTTTGACAAGCAATTCAGACATTTTTGTCAGATTAAGAAGGTCCATACCAACAGCGCTCTATTAAGTACCACTTTTAATAAATTCATCCACAAAATTTAATTAAACTACAAATAATAATCAATATAATATAACTTTAGTCCACAGTTTGAAAGAATGTCTTTAAAATGTTCAAGGACGCAAATTGTCAGTCAATTGTATATGCATAGCAATAACAAAGCACATTAAAAATGATACAAATTAATGATTTTTTCCGACTTCAAAAGAAATCGTCTAAAATTTTTATTTTAATTCATTTTAAATTGGTTTTTACGGCTTCCTCGTCAATAAACAGCTTCTTTCCAGCATAAGGATCGCTCGAAGCATTTGAAATACATTATATTACAGAACGTAAGAGTCGTAAGTACCTTCTTCTCAATTTAATTTTTGGAGTGTGTTAAATGCCATTATAACAAAAATATTTAAGTCCGGAAAACCATTCACTTTACAATTGATTATGTCAAGGAAATCTGATTAATCATCATCTAAATCGAAAATCGATTCAGTTCTGATGCGATTTGCGACCATTCAAAAATACATTTTTTTTATATGCTTGATCAATAATGGCTAATTAAGAAACAAAAAATTAGAATTAGACTTTATACAGCACCGCAATAATAGAGATGAAGATACAAACAGCAACAAAAGATGCCGATATCCTGCCATATGAATACTATGCCGGTATATGTTTTATGTAAATAAGCTCTTCTAACACACGAAAATTGTGACTTATTGTAGACTTCAGTTAATATTTTTGGGGTCATTATAATGCCAATAGCATGAAGATTCAATAACAAAACGCACAAAATAAACAAACAATTAAGATCCAAAAATAATCTCTTTTCAATCTCACATCACGAGCCTCAAGGAAAGTTGCAGAGTGGCCATGAAGATGAGTACTTAAGACGCAGTATTATATATAATTATTATTTTAATTCATGTAGAGGATTTCTTAAATCCAATACAATGATATTAGGGAATAGCTCGGATGAGCTAGTAGATTCACACGCAAGGTGTGAGAAAATCTGGTTGAAGTTCGATTCCCTAATTTTTTTGCAAATACAATTTTTTTCAATCGTGCTGCTTTTAACTTATTTTTGTTTAAACTTTAAGATTCAGACGTATAAAAGCTTCACCCAGAGTTTAACAAAGTGGATCCGATGAGATCTAAACTCCCAAATCCCTTGTTTTGAAGTCCTTTGAAAAATGCCACTGGCTTCTGCAAAATCACATGACTAAGGTCACCCATGCGTCTTTTATCACATCCGGAATGTTAATGCTGCTTAACAGTTTCCATAAATCATATCTGACAATCAATGGATAATTACTCAAAGCAAACAGAGACGACTAAGCCATCTTCATTCATGCCACCCAATGTGAGTTTTACATAGCGCATCCCAATGTTAATATATGAGGCATAAAATATACCAAAAAAAAAAATCCACTGATTTCAATCTCTCGACTGAGAAATACTGAAATTGAAAGTGTTGGATTTTTACTTTTTATTGATTGAAGATTTTTTTTATTATTTTCGTGATGATGAATAAAAAGTGAAAACTGGTTTTTAAGTTGAGCTTACTGATGATGCTATTTTCGGCATTAAAAATAAAATCTTTTTTGTCTTTCAAATGTCCACTGAGAATCTTTTATTTATTTGTAGAAATGCATGGGGGATAGACGCTGGACTTGCAAATGATCGATTGGAATTTTATAAAACTTTATTAAAGTAATTAATTAAATTTTCCAAATAGGATGTGAATCTTGTTCTTTTTGTAAAACAAAGTCCATGCATTAAGGCCATTGATTTAAAAAATATTGATAAGTAAATTTTCAAATGCTAAGCTTCTAATTAGCTTTAAAACTCTTTTTTATCGATTGCATCAGATTAAATTTTACTCGTTTGACATTTACAGCCACAATGTGCTGTGCATTCATATCGAGGATTTTTCCATACAAGCATCAATAACCATGAAATTACTGATTATTAATTTTATCATTTTTGCAGCTTTAAATTTGCAAACTACTCGCGATGTGCTCCAAAAATTGCTACAATGTAATTATAATGTTCCTAGATAATTAGGTGTATCCAATATTGAGTGTCAAATCTATAAACCTGTCAATACGACGCCATTACTGTATTATTAATTTCTCTGGACAACGACTATCATGTGAGCATGATTAAAAAGTCTACAATCTGTTACAAAACTCATAAAAGTTGCAATTATTGGTACCAAAAATGGACATGCGATTATTAAACTTGATCAAACTTTTTTGAAATAGCTGTGTGTTATGGCTTAATTAAAAGGTTGTTAGAAACTTGTCTAATGAGGAGTTGCTGGTTGTCGTGATATTTTCATGAAGTTATTGGAGTACAGGCTTGGGAAATGCTGATTCATTTATTCACTATTACATTATTATATTAGGGCTCTGTGATGAACTTTTTGGTACTCTAATAAGAAATACTTTACTAAAAGTGAGAGGAGTTTAGAAACAATTTAATTTTCATAAATATGGCTAATCATAGTAATTTAAGCTCAATTTATATGCCATTTACTGATCTAAATAATTCCCTTACTTTACAATTTCAATTCAAATCTAAAACGATCTCAACTGCTTAACTTATCTAACCACCCTACTTGCCAATTATATTTAAAAAAAAAAAATCAACAAATTTTAAATTCAATTACTGTATCACATTCAATAGCCAATGCCTTAAACAGCCATTTAAACTTTTTTATCTTTTGCTAATCAAGTGATTGTTAAAAGTGTAATTGGATACAAAGCTACTTTCATTTCTAGAGCTTATTAGATAACGAAACTAATTTCTATATATAAATTGAAATTATAAAAGTACTGGTCGTTAATCAATTAATTAAATTACAGCTACTGAAAAGCATTTCTAAGGGTCTCGGCTTAATAGATTTATTTTAGATAATTTTGCACTTACTTAACGAAATGAAAAAAAAGAGTGACACTTACTCAATCGCACATAACTTTTATATACATTGGGATTTAAACCCACGTCTTCTAAACTTAAAAAGCCTCAAAAACTATTTACTTGAATTTACTACTTTAAAAATATAATATCAATATGGCGAAGTCACCAACAAATGATTCACGTTAGTAGATTACAATTTTGATGCCACTTGACAGTCCAATATAAAAACTCCTCACCATAAGAAGAGATTAGTCCGAAGCAATTTGCAGCAGTTCATATGTTTTAATTACTCGTCAATTAATCAAAATTCATTAAAAAATACAGAGATTATTAAAAGCTCATTCTGTTATGTAATTTGAGCGAGTGACTCTGGACTTTTGTAGCTAATAGTTTTGACATGACGACGAAAAGAATCAAAGAATCGAGCAAAAAAAATGATACTTTGTTCTGTCATTCAGCATTAAAGGAGGTTCTTTAAATGTATAAATTAATATTTAATTTTCAATTTCAAAAATCAATTGATTAATGCGATGCATTTTGAGTGTGCCTTTATCGAATTGTTTTGGATGTGCTAAAATATCACTTTGAATTAATTTTTAGATTTTTTATAAATGATATTTTTTGAAGATGATCATCATTTAATGAATGATAAATGAGAATTTTTGACATATCAATTTTTTTTCGAGGAGTTTTAAGAATGAAAATTTTAAGGAGATTTAGGAACGAATGGATGAATGAGTTCTGTGGAGGATGGCACTCCATCTAAATCATGCCTATAACTCTACCCGATTCTTATGTATGTCAGTAAATTCCATTTTATTTACTTTTACAATCTAATAAGCTGTTAATTACATTAAATGATAAATGAGCAGTTGCATGCAAGATTTGTATAAATTTATTGTTTCCATGAAAGAACGGAACTTGTACGTTTATCAGGCTATAAAAATGTCACGAGATAATTTAATTTTGATGAAGAACTATTAATATTTATGAATAATATTTTGAATATATTTGACTCAGGGGCGTAGCCAGGGGGGGGGGGCCTTAGGGGGCCCGGGCCCCCCCTACGAAAATCTGATAATTGTTTTATTAAGTATTTATAGAGAAGAACCAGTTAATGTAGAGGAAGTGATGAAAGAAATGTCAAAATCAGCACGAAAAATTAAATTTAATGTATGAATAATGAATTAAATATTTAAACTTATGAAGAATAAATATAGATTTAAGGATACAAAACAACGGTTTTTTCAATGGGCCCCCCCTTAAAAATTTTCTGGCTACGCCCCTGATTTTGACACTGATTTTGTCTAATTTGCTTATGGATGAACGATAATTTTTTTTGTTATAGAATCTAGAAAAAATAGCTGCTACCTTGACTGTTGATTATTTATGATATGATTCAAAAATTCAAGCTTTGGGAAATTTATCGAAACCTACCAATTATTAGTTAAGCACATTTAATCTCATAAATTTAGTGTTGAACCTTTAACTTAATAGCATCTTGCCAACTCAATCTGCAATTCAATCATTTCTATTTGATCAATTCAAAACTCAGCTTAAACATCTTATTGGGTTGCCAAAATTGTCAATTAAAAAAACATTGACATCCAATTAAGCATTTTATGAATAATAGACAGCTAATATATCTCTTTAAAAAGGCAATCTCAAGCATTTTAAAAAATTTGGAAATAAAAAATCCAGATTTTTGAATAATTTAAATATCCAATGTTAGATTTTGCGGTGATTCTTATGAAACTTAATATTGTTGCATCCATAAAACAGTAATCATCATATTAACCAGTTAATTCGTATGCAAATTTGGCTTTTTAGTTTCTGTCCAATGAAGAAACTATTGTACCTGATTCTAAATGCGCAGTCAAGATCGTGTTTTCAAGTCATCTTTCGAGTGCCGTATCATTTTTCAAATATGCACATTTGAGGTCCAATAATGATATAATTTCTGTAAATTTATTAATCCAAATGTGGGCTTATTATATCCACAATGGCAATGTTCGGTTTATAAAATATTGCAATTTAATATTTTGGACAATCGAGACTAGTAATTAAGATTTCCATAGTGAGATATAATGAATTATTATATAATTTTAAAACAGTTGTATTTATCATTTTGGAATTCAAACAATTATGACAGAATTGGACTGGTAATTTAGAATTGACTATTATTTATATTTATGGTTTAAAAATGTGATTCATTTGACAGTGCTGTCAATAATTCTTTTACATTATATAATATGGCCTTATATCTCCAGTTAAAAAATAAATTAAACTCTACTATTTGGCTAATCGACATCATTGATGAATAACTCCCACAAGACAACCCGCAGAAATGACACAAATTGATTGAAATAAAATTAATTACTTTTCATTAAATTACCACAAGTTCACAGCACAAACAAACAAGTTGATAAATGACCATTAGCTTCTATTTCCTGCTACAAATGCTCTAATATGACATGTCTGTACATTCCGATAAATGCAGGAAGAACAGTTTTGATACACTTGATATCAATTCATTTAATTGTCATGTTGCTGTGAACATTATTGTACACATGTTGTTGCTTCCATTATGTTTGCTACAATAATATCGATTGCTACCGCGTGTGCATTGCATTATGCAATTTTTTTGCACTATGATATCCATTATTATTGTTATGTAATTATGACAACAATTTCTGCTGTCTGATTTGCACTCAAGTTTACGCTTGTGTGTATGATTGTTAACTTTTTGATATTATTCTCTTGATTTGCATTGTTAAAAAAATGATATTAATCTTATAAGAAGCTATCAAGTTTAAGACGTCATAAAAAGCTTTACTTAAATGCTGCTCTTGGTTATAAATCTCATTCTACTTTTGTAATGAAACTCTTTTTCCTTAACTGAACAAACAATATTATCTTTAGTCATTTTCATTCTTAATGACATATTGGAAACCTTGGATGCGTTTTAAACTTACAAGCTCAGTGTGTAATGATGAAATCAAGGGATTGTTGTTCTTTTGGAAGCAATAAAATCAAATTTTTAAATTTTTATAGGACCTGAACTTATGATTTCGGAAATTATTTCAATTATTCAACTTTTCATTTTTTTCAATAATTTCCCATAAATTTTTATATCTAATCAAATACAAAATTCTCATTTTAAACGCTCAAACGCTCAAAGTCTTCAACATTTGTTAACGTTCCGATGGCCAGACCAAACATTTATCTATTTTTTGTACAAAGACAACATTTTTGTAAGCTTTTTCTTTTCATCTAATTATTCACATTTGAAATTATTCAAAAATCTTGCAAATATCTCAGTAAATGTACTTAGTGGACCTCGTCCTTGCTCAGTTGTTATGATTTCAATCTCATTGTTGAATTTGTTACTACCAACATTGAAGATAAGTTTGAAGATAATGCAAATTTATGTTAACGAGGTCTCGGTTCAATTATATCCGATTGATTCAAACAAATAAAAAATTTAAGATGCCTTTAAGGTTTTTAATTATTATTTGAAATTCGAATACACTCGCATGTCTTAATATAAAATGACATTTAGTTCACATTGTTTCACTAATAAATGAGATTTTGAATTGTAAGAGATCGATTGTACTAAAAAGCAGAGATCGAAGCCGATTTTTTCGGCTTAATTCAATTTTTGATTTTTTTGATAGAAAAAAAGCCATTTGACACCCATTTCAAGTATTTAAATTGAACTTTACATGCTTTACTATGATTTTGTGTAATATTTTGTCAGCATGTAGCTATAGTGAGCTCGAATTTCAATTTAGCCGATTTTAAGCCGAAATTTAAGCCGATCGGCTTAAAATCGGCTAATTTGAAATTCTGAGCTTCCTATAGCTACATGCTGACAAAATATTACACAGAATCATAGTAAAGCATGTAAAGTTCAATTTAAATACTTGAAATGGGTGTGAAATGGCTCTTTTCTATCAAAAAAATCAAAAATTGAGTTAAGCCGAAAAAATCGGCTTCGATCTCTGGTAAAAAGCATCGGGTTTTATACTTTTTGCCTTATTTTTCGTAAAATTTGCAGCAAATTTAGTAATTAAAATTGAAACAATTTTAAAAAATTTCAATTTTTTCAGAATTTTTGAATCCACAGATAAAACAGCCATACTGACAATGTTCTTTATAATTGCCACTGACACATTTAATCGTTTTAAGCCACTGACCAAAACATGCTTCATCCCGAATTTCTCATTATTTACGATCTGATGTCGGTCCTCTTAATGACTATACTCAAATAAATGTGATAAATTGATTGAGGCTAGCAAAAAACCAAAAAAGCTGTTGAAAAACAAAACAAATCTCAGCTCATCGTTAACGATTTAAGAGAAAAAGGATCCCATGATTAACATTCTTAAGTAATTCTGTGCCTTAACTTTCCGGTCGATGAGTAATCCTAGCCCCATTTCATACCGGATTTGTTCTTTATTAGTTCATAAGAAATTGTTTTTTAGAATTATTTGAGATTCTAAATTTGATATTTTATGATCCCGGCGTTTCCTTAATTAAAGGGTACAGGCAGGCAATCACTTGAATTATTGTAATGATAAATTCATGAAATAGAATAAATATCAAATCAGAAGCTTAATTAAAGCAACTTTAAAGCAATAACTTATTCGATATTATGTTTATGCAAATTTGGTCACATTCAATTCCTTAATGTGCCTACATTCTATCAAAAAGTTTATAGTATTTAAAATTTACAATTTCCTTTTCGCATTACTCGCACTACAATTTTGTATAAAATGTAATTAACGGGTTGTCTTGAATCACATCAGACTTCCCGATATCCATAATTGGACACAAAATCCCTAAAATTACTCACAGACATGAATATTATGAAATTAAATTTGGGGTTATTTAAAAATGGTGTTTTACAGTTAAATTTTTAACAGATTCTTGAATTTCAAAAACTCAAATTTTAACGAAAAGAAAATTTCAAAATTTATTGCCCCCCCCCCCCCCCCCCCCCGCTCACCGAATTTTCAGACGAACCCCCATTTAATAATGTCGACGAGCTACAGCATCAGAAAGATGGATGACTTGTTCATCATTTCTGTTATTTTTTTGTGAATCGTGTCGAGTCATTCCGTAAATAGCAAAAAATATTAAAAAATTGAGCACAAAGACGCCAACGTGTTTACATTTGTGAATTAAGTCTGAAGGGAAAAATTGAGAACATTAACGGGTACGAATCTTTCACATGTGTGTTACTTCCATTCATGAATTGCATCATTTGAAAGAGAAATAAACAATAACATGACGGCAGTTGAAAAATAATAAAAACTCAAGAAAATGACAACTTTAAAGAAGTGATTTCTTGTGTACTCACCTGTCCGATGTGACGTTTCAATTCATCAGTTTTGTGGTCTCGCATTGGATTGTCAAAGCCACACAGACCGATTCTGGAAGAAAATTAAGGTGAAAAGAATTCAATTAAGACTTGATTTACATTCAATTGAGGTAAAGGTTGTGATGATCATGTCTCCTGATTTTTGCTGTAGAATGAAAATTGTGTCATGTTGTTACTGTTGATTGATTGAATGCATAAACATAGGTTTACCATTGAGATACGTAATTGTTAAGTTTTTAAACCTAGTTCATCACGTATGTAATTAAGCGTTGATGCACAGTCGTATTAAGCCATTCTGAAAACAATTTTTGATAATTTTTGCCAATTTGTTTATAACTCCAAGCAATATTTTTCAATCTTCTTATAAAACTTTTAATAAAAGAATCATCAACTCAACAAAAGAACTCAAATTTCCAGATCCAAAAACTAAGACTTGTTCAGTTGTCTTCTACTATTTAGCACATAGGATATTGATTGAGTCATTTTGCAGACGCTAAATTTGATTATTATTTGATTGCCATTTAGAAGGTGTCAAAAAATTCATCAACATGGTCATGCATTTTAAGCAGCAGGAAGAAAAATTTGTTGTGGATCATCAACAAAAATTAGCAAGTTTAAAAAGACTAAGCATACATAAAATGCAATTCTTCACGATAGTTAGCTTGAGGATCATAATTATTTTGACATTTACAGAAATTATTGATGGGTTTGTGTATTTTGGATAGGATTTTGTCCCAGTGATCGAGTAAGGACTGGATGTTGATTGATTTTTGGATTTGGTGATCTTAACATTTTAAATTTACGGCTTAACGTGTGTTAAGTTCTTGAATTGAGATTTTATATAGAATATTATATTAGGATTGAAACAGAGTTGGATAGTTGAAGGAATCAGGACTCTTTTAAACAAACTTCAAGCTTAGGAATTTTTCAAATATAAAATGAAAAACTAGCTATAGAGCTTGATCTAGACCCAGTTCCTATAAAAGCATCAAAGCAAAGTGTCATCCTTGAAAGCATTCGCAGAACATCACTTCAAGCCATATCAATTTTCAATCACCAAAAATTCTGAGAATTCGTGAAACAATTTTTACACATAAAGTGCCGCAAAATACAAAACAATTTCAAGTTTACAAGGAAGTGGAAAAAAAATGAAATCGAAAAGAGGTTGCCTCAATTTTTTTTGCACCGTAACTGTTTAATAATTGTCTATCAACAGTTTTATTCGAGTTTTATTACTCAAAAAATAAAATCTACACTTAAGGCGAATTGCAAAATAATTTAAAGTTGATTTAAGACAATTCACGAAAATTAGTTGGTTAAACAATCGAAATATTTCAGCATAGTCGACAGTTTATTGTGTATGTGTAAGCACTTGTTACTTGATTTGCCAAAAAAACATCAACAACACTATTTGAATAGCTTAATCAACGCGTTTATATCAAATTCGCATGTGCGCATGTGCTAATTCACTCAAATTTATTTCAAATCATCCAATTCAGTCACCTTAATTAAAATTAAATTTCCGCAAGACATTCCTTCTTAAGAACCAAAATCCATCAATTTGGTCCAACGCTCCGTATTTAATAATCTCAAATTGCTAATTTAATATAAGTGATGAATTCTGTCAAATTATTTTCTGGCCAATTTTATTAATGTCAGAATTATGTAAAATTGACCTTCGTCGGAGTTCCTTTGTTTCGCAGAATTTTGCAACTCAGGAATATTTTTTTTTGTCGAACAAAAAAAAAGCCGAACAGCAACAAGAAGAGAATGAAAACAAGATTGCAAAGTAAGAATCACAAACGGCGACCTTGACAAAACTCTTTTTCTTTGGTATGAATTTTAATATTAATTTTCAGCTATAATTAAAAGTTTTGCGACAGAGTTGCTAATCATGGATGCTGTGAATGAGTTAATTTTAGGACCTGGACTAGATTGCAGTGTAGCAATGCAGTGCTTTAGAGAATTTCGGATGATATCTTATCACTAGTAAAGCATGGAAGATACTCTTCAGACCTAAAATATTCGTCATCTATAAGCAATTGCTTTTATTACAGACATAATACCAACTCTGTAAAATATAAAGTGAGAGAATTGAATTTTCTGCTTCGCTTAGTATGAAATTAGGCTTCTTAATACCAAGAACGAAATATTAAGTAAGAAGAAAACAAACAATTTTTGTTCATTCCCATCACATGGACAATGATCTTAATCTATCCGTACTACTCATATATACATAAAATCTTATAGATTTCTCAATAAATTCCATAACAATTACTCTAAAGTAACAGCTAACAAAACCCGTTAACAGCTGCAAATAGCTGAACAAAGGAAACAGAGTGAGAAAGAGCTACAGACATATCTAACATGTGAGGTACATAAACTCATTAAATTACTAAATAGCTTTTGTCGTTTTGGTACTGAAGCTCAAATGTCTCGACACACGAGTTATTAATTATTATAAAAATGTTATTTTACTGCCTTGCATATTTAGTCGTGCGCACGCAATCATGTATCGGCGCTTCTAAATAGAATAATTAGTTTATTTAAAATAGCAACAATTAGATTTTGTACTTTTTTGTGGACCATAGTTTCTCATCATGATAATAACTATGATTAATAAAATGTTTGATTAAAAGCTTTTATGTAGAAAAAAAAATAAACTGATCATAATTACAGCCTTGCTACCTTAAATTCACATTATGAGAACTAAGTAGCCAGCTATCGGAAATGAGATTTGTTCCTTAATTGAATTAACATGTTTTAAATATTTGAAGTCGTGCTCAGGTGGATTAATCAGTAGAATCAGGTCTTACACGATTCGGAAGTTAATTACTAGATTGCGTAAGATTTAACCTAGTTTAATAAAGAGTTTATCTTGAGATATTTTTTTGAAGTGGGTGATGAAATTCTGTTCATATGGAGATAGGAATTTGTGTGGCCCAAAAATTATTTTTTTAAGTAGGAACAACTTGTTATTTTAGATAAAAAAAAACAATTTGTTTCAATAAAATTTTGAATTTTTTGATGTTAGCTAGTATATTGAAGATATAGATTGATTCTTGTTCATTTTAAGATATTTTCTGAATCTACACAAGCCAAAAATCATAGATTGTTTAAAACAAAAGAACCCGAAGCAACTGGCAATCATCCACAATATAAACACATCAAACATTTAAAAATCCAAATCAAAGTTTTCATTTGATTGAATATGTCATAAGAACGTCCTCAACTCTCATTCATCTCAAAACTTGTTTCATAGAAGCCTCTCTAAAATCTTCTCATATTTCCCATAACCTCATGCATGCATCTTTTTCTCAAGCATCACAATCAAAGCTCTTTGAATTCTTTCCTAGCATTATGTACTATAAAAAATGTAACGCAAGCTCAATATTGAATGCTGAATACCAAAAGAAGAAAATAAATATTCGAGAGCCCTTCACGTCTCACTGACTTCTTACTAAAAAATAAAAAGTTAAAACAAATAGCTATAAATAATGAAAAAAATTATCTCCCATATGTACGCACACTTGTGGAACAATTAAACTAAACGACCTTGCTGCCTTATTTTACTAGACATCATCGCATGAAAGAATTGAAAATTGCAAGTATCGTTTACCTGCATACACAGTCAACTTCCTTTCAGCATAACAACGCAGCAGTAAAAAAAAATATTTCATGCATTAAAGGTTCTGAAAGTGAACGAGATAGGAGATACAATGTCACACCAAGTTATCGTATAAATGTGCTCAGATTTTATGGCAAAAATGAGATGAAAATGGAAACTCTACATGTGATCTTTATCATGCTCTGAAGCTTTGCACCATACGACGTTTGTAATGAAACTTTTATATTAAATGCTTTGGCCAATTAATGCTGAAGACGAAATTAATTTAACATTAATGCAGCTGAAAAGAGTACATTACTGACTGTGTATGAATTTCTTTGTACGACGCGACATGAAAGCACAACGTCAAGTACGAGTACGTTTTACACACGTAGAAATGAGCGAGCATACATAAAATATGTGTTCAACTGCTTCTGCTTTTGCTGCACATATTCAGTTATTATTGAAATGGAAATTTTTATTTTTTTTTTCATGAGAAATGTCTTCGGAACGAGTATGTGATTTACATTGATGGCATACTAACATTAAGATAAAATGAATTATGTGGCAAAAAACATTTGCAGTGTTGCGTTATCGTTTAGTGATTTCTTCTTCTTTCTTTCATTGGCAATTATGCTTGCATCTTCGCTGAACTTCTTTACTGAATGAGATTTTTTGAAAGAAGAAATGAGAAGAAGAATGAAAGAAGAATTTTCATGCACGTCTTGGAAGATGCTCTAGAAATATTAACTGGTTGATCTATTACTTCCACCTTACTTGATAATAAGTAGAATGGAACGTGCTGTGATTTACTTGAGTGACATAAAATAGAACAAATTAGTTTCTTCAATAATTATTGAACTAGATTGGTTTTATTTAAAGCTCGAATTCTATCAAAAAGCTTTGACATGACCATGAAAAGCTAGAGTTGAGTCAAAAAGTTCAATTTTTCTGCTAAGCACACTATTAGAATATTACGCAACATCAATAAGCCTTGCCAAAAAAAAGTCACAATCTTTTAAAGTTTTAAATTAAATAATTTCAATCCTCCTCAGTCAATCCATAAATGAGATAAATACCTGCATAATGAAGTAAGAAGAAAAAGCTCTAACCGCACCCAAAAGAAGTGATCTTTTACTTCCAAAACAATTTTTGCGCAATACTTTTAAACTTTTAATAATGAGCCAACTTATTTTTAGAAGAAGAAATAAACAACGGAGTTTGGAACGAAGCAGTAAGAAGATATTGCAATGTAGAAGGAAAACAATCGATTTATGATCATTCATAACTTAAATATCAAGTTGTAATAAAATTAATTATGAAAGATTAAGTTACAAAATGCGCACATTTAATGACTTTTTAAAAAATACCTCATTTTTGTCAGATTAAGGGGAAATGCATAAATAAATGTGGATTAAGTGAAATGGACATAAAATATTATTCTTGACGGATCGCATAAAAAATGTGTGCATTATTCAACCGCAATGCAAGTTGGCCAGCATTTATGTCTTATTTTGGTATTAAACAGGCTCAAATCTTGATCGTGAAAATGACTCAATAATAAATTTATGGCATCGAACATGTGTACCATATATGATACCTTACTACATAATTTCTCATACTAACGGTCAACATGAAGCATATGCTACATATAATTCGTTATGTTGTCTACATATTCATTACATTAAGAAATGTTACATGGTGCTGGGTAAAAGTCATCAACTTGATTGACTAGATGATATAAACACACAAGACTCAAGTCTCTTACATCGGTGGATTTGTGTATTTTTTTCTGCTATTGCAAAATCAATTTGGTTTCAATTTTATTGCCGTTTGTAATGAACAAGGCAGGCTAAATTGTGTAAAGTCAATATGATATGTTGTACTCTACTTTACTTTACATTGATCAGGAGATAATGATCAAAAACCAAAAAAAGAAAAGAAATCAAACACAAAGCTTACCTCATTCCATCAAATCCATCATCAGAGCCATTCACTGTCAGCACAGGCGCTCGTGCATAAGCTTTAGCTACACGACGATTTCGCTCAAAAACAATTACTTTTGCCCAAATCTCGTCGTCTATTTGTGTCCACTTGCCAAGTACCTCTTGTATGTGATCCTGAAATGACAAAAAAAAATTGACGAAAAAAAATTAATTGAATATTTTGCAATTGGCATTCATAATTAATCGAAAGTTGAGGATGTTATAAAATCGCAATTAATCAAAAATACATAAACTTATAAGTCGCAAATAAAATGATTGGCAAATATAATAATAATTGTGAAGATTATCTTCACCCTTGTATCTGATGTCTTGCTTTTAAGATGAGTCGTGTTGTGCCGTGTCGATGGAATTAAATGTGTAAAAAAGTTTATTAATAATTTTCACTTTCACGAGAGGCTTACAATGTGTTTTTTTTTGTGGTCAAAAATTGAAATGTTTGTTTGAAGCAGATTGGGTTGTGGCTGGATCAATGAACCATGAATTGAAAAATCGTTTAAAATTTAAATTTTGTAAATTTAAAAATTATAAAACTTCGTTAAAAATTTGAATTCCTAGAAACGTATTCTTAGTTTTTTCGACTAGATTCATACAAAAATAATGTTTATACTACTTAGAGCCGTTAAGCGACATCACCATCAACAATTTTTGAAAAAAAAAAGCTAGAAAAAATTAATAATGTTTAACCTTTTAAGACAACTCAAATTTGTCCCACAACGGCACGATAGCATTTAATGAGTATTTATTGTGGAAAAAAGAAGTCTTTAAATTATTTGAAGAGGATGTGCAACTTGAAGACTTGATGATGGTGATAAATAGATATAAATTATGCAGTAAATTCAATGTAATAATGACACAATTGTGAATAAAATTAATGAGAAAATAAATTTCATTTACTAAATTGTTGTCGATGTTGACTGAATGATAAAAATGTTAAGTCAATCTACTGTAAATTTTTAAAAATTATTCGAAGATGTTTTGAAAAATTTTTGAAAATGGGCTGAAAATTGCTGCAATTTGTTAAAGTTTTTATTGTCAAATTGTCTTCATAAACTTTAACAATCTCATCTTATTCATTGCGATTGAATTAAATGAAAAGATCATTGATCCTAAGATGCTTGTTGTCGTAATGGACCAAGCAGCGATATATTTGATCCAACTTTTAAATTTGGATTCTAGCAAGTTATAGCCGTTTTTAATTGATTTTAATCCTTGAAGAAGTAGTCAAATAAAAAGATCGAAGATCTTTGAATAAGATCGAAACTCAAATCATGTATTAATATTAATTTACCAATTTTTTGGTAGTCTCGAACTAGCCTCATTAAAGATTAACATCTGATAACAAGAAACGATTTCCATGACCAAGACAAAATGCATATTCAAAGAAATTAATGACTTCCTATTAAAAAAACTTCCATTAACAATTCAAAAATCCTCATAAACAGAAAATAATTTATCCTGAATGCTCACACAATACTCAACTAGAATCATCGAACAACAACCTCGACATTTCATCCACATGCAATTCAGACATCTGTCATCAAGTTATATACCCTTGCTTAAAAATAAATATTTTGGATGCCACTTAACGTGCTTATCTTTTTTTTTTATGAAAGACTTTTTATATATAAATGACTTTTTATCTTCATATCTCTCTCTGTGCTTAAGCCAAGCCGATTTTCCTTTCATGGAGTTTTATTGACTTTCGCTTTCAATGTTATGTTCTTTATAATCTTATGCATGAAATAAGCACAGTACAGCATATAAAACAGTCATTTCATTCATACAGCTCAAGTCAATGCACTGAATCTGAACACATACATGCAACATACACAATGTGATTTCCATGAGATAGAAGTATAATATAAGATCATAAATTCTCTTATGCACAATTGTAAGAATTATTATGCACTTTTGTGTGCATATTATAATGGCATTGCATAGTTCTCTTTTTTTATTGCTTGTTGTTTGTTGTTTTAATGGTAAAATGTAGGTTAAACACCAATCTTATTTAATAACTTCTCAAAGCATGCACGGAGAACGACTCGCGCAGAAGTAAGAGAAAAAGCGCAACTTCAGATGCAAGAAAAAAATTCACATAAAAGTGTGTCTGTAAATAAATTTCTTTGTGTTTTCATTTTCATTTTTTTTATTTTTTTTATTCACCCAAACGGATGAAATAAGTAAGATGCAATTACGTAAGCAACAACTGTTCAATGTCGAAGTTATCAATAATAAAAATGTTGATAAATTGCAGTCATGACATGTGGATGTTCAACGAGACAGGACAAGTGAAGGACGAGGCTTTATGCTCTCATAAAAAAAGATTCTATAAGAATCATGTTCCTATCAATCAGAATGCGAGACTTTAATTGAATTGGTTACATGAATTTAAGATCAAAGAGATTATTGTTTGAAATTTTGATTCTGATGGTTATTGGATGTAGATTTAAATAGTTTTGAAGTTAATTTGTAGATAGAGCGCATTTCAGAGGTGATATTATTCGAATCCCAGGACCTAACCAGCCTCGATGAACTCCAGAAACATTTAAAAAGACATGACCGGTACATACAAAATGATTCCATCAGCGAAGCAATGTTATTCCAAGAAAAAAGAGCTTCACAAAATCCATGCAAAAACAAGCTCACTCACGCTGAAACCTTGAAGATCATCTGTACATGAGCAATGCTTTTGTTTTGATTGATCGTGATGTCCATACGATCATGTTGTGGATATTTTTATTACAGTAATAATTCTTGCTTATTTAGTAAGTAGAATTGAAATATTTCGGAAATATGAGAAATTATTAAGTCAGCGCAGGCACAGCTGAGGGCATTTAAAATGCACTTTTTGTATTATTTTGGACAGCATCAAGGACATAAAACAAGCCTTTATTTTTCATTTTTGTTTCGATGACTAACTGTAGACTTATTTAACTCGAGCGCATTCTGCATGCATAATAAGACATGACCGAAATGAGCTGTTCTTGCAAAATCAAGTAAATCACAATGAAGTCTGTCCATTAAATATTTAAACTTGTGAAATGTGTAGCAATCATACACAATATTATTAGTGCTGTTTGTCTAAAGAATTAATTGCTCATAAAGGGAGCAAGCCGTGTGTCACGTGCTTCTCTGAAAACTTTTTCATGTCGCCCGAGCATTAAAACATCAAATTGCACAGTGAAAATAAATTTATTATTGTTGATTGATCTAAATTCAATGGTTGAATGGATAGGCGTTAAAGAATGACAGTACATTGACTTGTAACTGCATCAAAGGGCTCACGATCCAAATAGATTTATTACAAGCGGTAATAATGTTGTTGGTTTGGTTGAAATTGCGCAAATGACTTTAGGTCTATAAGAATGTAAAGCATTCAAAAACTTTAATTAAAAGATCTGTAAATCGCATTATAAAGTTGATTTGTCATGTGAATGCCTCAAGCTAAAAAATGTGCCACACTGTGGACGCTCTAATAATTTTTTTCTTGCAGGTTCGGAATTCAAACAAATCGCACATGTGCAATGCTTAATACTTTAAAAAGATTTAAGAGGTGAATTTAATGGAAATTTTAATTTAATTTTATGTCATTGTGAAATCTGCTGTTTTGGATATATTCGGTCAGGTGAAATGATTTCTTTAATAATTATTATTGTGGATTTAAAAGCATTTTCATTGATGAGGAAATGCTATAAATAATTAAAAACTGCCAAGGAAATTAAATCATTCAAACAATGACTTTTGATATTTTACTTGTTGTATTGGCAGTTATGCTTAGCTGTATAATTTATTGCACTGTGATTTATGTCGCATAACGAAGACAAGCTAGTTCGTTAACACATAGAACTTTTTTACTGTTCCCTTATTTTAAAGCCCGAACTATGCATGAATATGATTGGAATTTTCTCATTTCATGATCAACTTTTTATATCACTATTAGAACAAAGTCAATATGCCACTCGGTCATGTGCCTCATTAGTTTGTAATAAATTGTCATCATCTAATTCCTCATTTTATGCGCCTCACTTTTTGTTGAAAATTGAATAAAAAAATTATTAATGCACATTAGAGTTCATAAATTAGAATTTATCTCTGAAGCTAAGTTATTAAAATTATTTATTTCATTTATGTGAATTCCATTAAATTTAAACTTATAAATTTCATGGAGGCAATTAAAAACGTGCAGTATATGGCATGTTCTTACATAAATTAAATGAATTCTATTATGACAAATTAGATGCTTAGATTTTTAGCTCAGCAGCAAGGATCAATAATGCTTGTTATTATATAGCTCATACTTTGTTGATTTGTATGGGCGTAAATTATATGAGAAAGAGATATTTGAGATGTGTGAATTATTTTAGTGTAATTAAAATTAATAGCTTGAGAATATAAATAATAATATTCGAAGACCACAAGTTTCCAGGATTTGAATCAGGTGTTTAAGGTGCCTCATTTAACATTCCCAATGGGGCACATCAGCTCATACTTAAGCCTCACTTCTTAATATAATGGGGAACTAGCTATTGATACTTTATGATTTATACAACTTCATTAGTTTGTTTTAAAATCAGCAGATATGATTAAGTTTCAATAAAGCACGCATGCAGGTATGTTTATGATTTTACTTTCTAATCCTGTGCGTTATTGTCAAAAGAAGAAATTTTAAGAATAATCTTGCAACATTTTGTCGATTTTAAGAGCCCATGTGGCTTTATATGAGCCATAAAATAATTTCCCTAAGAAAATAAGCCGACAACATTATTGCCTTGTAATCTTCTGTAAATAGTAAAAGTCATTGCATGTCTGCAATAAATTATGTTGATTAAAATATCACAACACAGATTGCAAGTTCCTACAACTTAGTGTAATTAACAATAAATCAATTAATATCAGCCTCTATGTAAATTCAAGGAAATAAGACAAGAAATATTTCAACAATAATAGTTAATTACGATTTAAGGTACAATTTATAATCCAATTGTGTTGTGGGTGTTAAGACCAGACAATGGTAAATATTGATTGACTAACAAATTTTCAGTGACTTTGAAAACAAAAATAATTAATCAATAGACTCATAATTGCTTATTTAAACAATCACGCAGTTATTACTT